TCGTGGCTAATTTTGTGGAATTAACCACGAATGTTCGTGGCAACAATCTTCTAGTTTGTTGATGGACAACTATATTAGCCACAGAAGGAAAGAGAATAAAACACAAAAACTTAGCGTGGCTAATTTAGACATGAATAGTTGACTTTTCGTGGCAGAGAATTTAGCCACGGGTATATAATCACAACTTTTGTGTTCGTGTTCAAATCCGTGACTAAGTAATTTAGCCACGGCCACAAAGGCTAAATTATCCACGACTGTGGTCGTGGTTGACCGCTAGTTTTTTTGTAGTGGAATTATTTATCCTAACTCTCTTGATAGCTCATATGTGGTCAATATTATGTATACTTCTCTATCTAAATTTAGAGAGAATCTAAAAAGAAGAAAAAAATATTAATTTCATCCCACTCATCTTAGGAATGTTTTATATTTAAACCTATGACTTTTTTAATATTTTTATTTCAAAAAATGTTATCTTTTGTTATCTTCCTGCTCTTGGATTACAGCTTCTTCAACCCAATTGCTCATGTCTCCTGGACGAATGGAATAAAAAGATCTTTTCCAAGGTGATATGGCAAAAACAGTGCAATTTAGGTGATAAGAAGAAATGGTGATTGATGTTAGGCAAGTTGGGTAAGCATATAGTAGACTGTGTTAAGGGATTGTACAACATTAAAACCAGTTCACCAGGGTTAATACGATTAGCCATTAACAACCAAACATATCCCGACTCCCGAGTCGACAACCTTGAAATCTTCCCCAAAAGATTCAATTTCAGGCATTTCAACGTAGTAGGTGTTATGAGTAACGGAATCTAGGATAGAAGTAGCACCTTCCACCGAGGAAGGAATGATTAGCTAGCAATGGAGGATATGATAACGTTATATCACTCTGCAAATCAAAAGTAGCCCAACTTGATCTCTTCTACACTTAATTATAGGAACCATTGAACGACAAAATCTGCTGACAACTCGGAAATTGAAGTAATCTACAGGGTTGGCCAGATGTGAAATGATTTATCTCCCATAACACACCAACATGGAGACCATCCAAAGTCCAAACTTGATTATGTTAGGACCGCTGCAACTTTGCCCTGTTAGTGTGTGTATATATATATATGTATATAGTTGATGATATAGTTGTAATTGTATATTCATGATTGTACTATATATATTCAATGTGAATACAATACCCTCAAGGGTTTTGACACTTTCATCCCCTCCTCGGCGTCTTTTCTTTCCCTGATAAATAATAATTTATGTTGACATTGTACTCTTCCTCTTGCTTCAAAGTCATTGTTGGATTTATTATGATATAATTTTGCTCAGTTTTTTCCAGTGCTTGAATATCCGAGGATCGTATCCAAAGTGATGATGATTCCCAAGGAGGAGTAGGCACAATGGCGGAGACATGGGGGACCAACCGGGGCGGTCGCCCCCCCTTTACCAATTCTTTTATTAAAGGGGGACTTAATTTTTTAGTATAAAATTTTAAAAAATTATAATTTCACCCCTACTATATAAAAATTTTATCATTTGGTGCCTGCTATTTAAGATTTTTGACTCCATCCCTTAGTAGGCACATCTGGACTCAACAGAGAAACAGAGGGAGTTTTCTGTTCAATGTGGTAAGTGTACAACAATGTTGCATCATCACCTTCATTTGGAATAATTCCAGTAAACTCGATTCCCTACATAGTCCGAATCAATGGATGCAATCCGGCAAGCCATGGATTGGTGGCTCGTTGGCGGCTCAGGAAAAAAAAGCTACATTCAGACTACGTTGGACAAACATCCCACACCAATTTGACAAAATCGAACCTGAAAACCACGATGCTAATCAATTCCATGTAATCCCTTCTTTCGCCGAACTCAGAGGTTATCATAAACAGGTCGCCACAACATTTTACCCAACTTGTAAGAGCTGGAATCAGGGGTTCCAGAGAATAGAGGGAGGAAGGTAACACCTAATTGGACAGTTTCTCTGGGGATTTGTACAAAATTACCAACCGTGGGTTGAGATAACTATCGGGTCATTATTTAATTCGGCTATCGATTTCGGGAAGATTTGGATTTTGGGTTTTTTTAGATAAAACATCGTAAAAGCTCTGCTCTAACTATTCTTGATTTTCACCATTAAGGAAGGCAAGATATGGGTACCGGTTTCGTGGAGGAAGAGAACGATTTTGGATTATGCTCTTTGATTCTTGATCATATTTTGCTGCTTCAGCCGCCGTTGCTGTTCTTTTGGTTTTTTTTTTTTTTTTTTTTTGAAGATCTTAAGTCTAAAGTTAGGTTGGGTTTTGGTCTATTTGGCACAAACAATATAAAAGATAGTGACATATATAGTGAGAGTTATATTTCCAGGTAATAATATTTACACAGAAGAAATTTCCTGGGAACAAAGACTTGTCCCAGTGGTTAGGGGACATGCCACTCGACCTGATTTAAAAATCCAATTAGCGGATAAAGTCATTTGCTTCAATTTGATTGAGATTTCAATAATAGAATTTTTTTTTAATTTACTTTCGTCCTTTGCTTGGTAGATTTTTTTAGTAAGAAACTTCTATGTACAAAACTGCAATGTGTTGAATTCGATGCTCGTACTTCGTCTAAGCTTTCTGAATTACATATTTACTGCAGCGGCTCGGTGATCTTTGGACGAGGTACATCTTTCTTGCATTGAATCATGTAACTCCTTGCTCTAAAATTTGATATGCCGGTCAAACTAAAGTTTTGAGCAGAAATGACTGATGTTGTTTATTCTTAGTGCAAGTTACTAGGTGTAAGACCCGTCCGATGGACGGGGAGAACATGTACATATAGACATTACAACACAAATAAAGTAATAAAAATATCACTATTTCTATGGATTTTGTACTTTTATAAAATGTTAATTATAAATTATATAATTATTTCATTGAAAAATATAAAACACAAACATCAACAACACTTTACAAAATGGTCATAATTTATTTAATGCAAAGAGAATTATTAAAAAAATCTAAAAAAAAGGGAATATAAAAAAGAAAAAATAATTAACTTTGAATTGAATGATTATATGTCCTGCAATACTTCTCTGTGAACGAAATTCATAGTCTTAAATTGACGTTACCACATTTATCGCATATTAGGTTCTTGATTCCTTGTCTTGAAGTGACTATTGATAAGGCGGCATATAATTGGTCATGGTTAAAAACTGGACGTGACAAATAAAATGATTTGTTAATTTAAAGGTGTTAATCGGATGGCCAAATAAACTTAAACGGAAATTATAAAATAGAGATTTAATGGATGAAAATTTCTACCAAATACAATATAAATCATAATATAGAGAAAATGAAATTATTCATTATTAGATTAATTTTCTATGAAAAACAAAAATGCTAGTTATAAATGTATAGTAGCTTTTTTATAATGGCTTCATTCATAAAGAAAATATAAAATAGATAAACAAAAACATATGTGATATGGATATTTTCAGCATAATGTGGAATATTGAGAAAAGAAAAAAAAAAGCATTCAACTTCGCATTCAATAATTATATATCTTGTAATAATTTAAATCAAAATCATTAAACTGGTTTTTAATGACATTCTATGGTGGAATCATTTTTTTCGTTGATTCTAAGGTAGGATTATTTTTTTTACCACATTAATAATATCACTGAAGTTATTTGCATATTTAAATTTGATCTCTCTCTACTTGTTTTTAATAATATCCCACAATTACTTTGTAGTGGGTATCTATTTTTTTTCTTAATGAGATTGCAAATTTACTCTAGGCATTTTTAAATCTAAAAAATTAAAAAAATGCTAAATCCTATGTGGCATGTGCTCCATGACTTTAGTTTCTCTCTCTGGTTTTTGCCTTAGTATAATATATAGATATAGATATATAAATATCCTATAGAGTTTACTTTGCATTGGGACTAATTGATATAGGTGGAGCCTCGTGGAACAGTCCCATGTGTGGACTTTTGGGGTGTTGAATTGTGAGAAAACAAAATCAGAGAGACGTACGGGAGAGAGAATAGAGAGTACGAAATCTTTTGACTCTAGGGATAATTTTGGAAAAAGAATATATTTTTGTTTTGGAAGTTAGAATTTGTTTTGGTAAAATTACCTCTAAAAAAAATAAATATAAAAATTTAATGTAGATTATTTTGGGTGGCACATATAATATATAACGTTCAGAAAGAAACAAAATAATTTGCAATCATATTTCGTGATTCCATTGTTATTATAATCGACCCGGAACTTCAGTGTAACCTCCTCTTTAATCTTTCTCACCGCCTCACCAGCTGGATCTCGGTCACTGCCACGCTTCAACCATCAACCACGTATTCGACTCTTTGGTCGTCGATTTTCAAGTATTCGACAACTTTAATTAGCATCAAATACAAGTTGATAAGCGTATGTGATTTCATGAGGTCAGTATATACTGTTCTTTTCCCCCTTTACTAGTTACCAAGAAAACCAAGAGTTAGGATTAATTATATATATATATATATATGTAGGACTTTGTTTCCTATCGTGATACGTAGTAATAGGGGCCCTATATTGATTACTACTACTAACTACTAATTAAGATGACTTGTACTAAAGCTTAGTGTGCTTGGTGTGCTCTACACAAAAAAAAATCCCAGAGCATAAAAATCCGAGTAAATATGTTTCCTCCAATATCTTCGTTATTTTGATTATTGGTTTGGGTCCAACAGTAACTATGTCTGATGCTTTCTTATTATTATATTGAGATTCTAAGTAGAATTCATGTTTTCAACGGGACATATATAAGGTGAAAAATAGATTTAGAAAAAAAAAAGGTTTTCATAGCCATTGTATTTGATTTTTGTCAGGTTTTGCGCCTCTCCTACGTACATGATGATGTTGTCTGACGATTTGGTTTGGGAAGTCCTAAGTAGGGTTTCGGTGAAAGACCTGATGCGGTTCAAATGCGTGTCCCGAACTTGGTTATCAATTATCACGCATCCGGATTTTACCAATGCCTACCCTGGTGGTTCTCGAGGCCTCCCTTCATCTAGAACCTTCCTGGAAAAAGCATCACCAATATTCAAATTCTTCGCAGCATGGATATCGGGTTCGGTGCAAAGGATACACAAACATTGTGGACGGTCTATTATGTTTCTACCTCGGCAACCATTCTTGCTTATACAATGTTACCACCCGCGAGATGGTTCAACTTCCTGACTCGACCCGGCACCATGATAATTGTAAACAAGATACATCCTTAAACCGATACCATTTTGGTTTCGATCCGGTCAACAAACGCTACAAGTTGCTGAGAACGTTATGCCCTAATCATGCGGAGATTCTAACCATCAGGGAAGATTCTTCGTGGAGAAGTATCGTTACTTCCCATCCACTGATTGACAAGATAACTGCTAGAAGTGTTTGCTTAGGTGGAGATCGTTGCTGGATGGATGGATTTGGTCGTCGAATTGAGGCTTTTCATCTTGCTGAGGAGAAGTTTATTCTCATTCCGATCCTTTGGATCATAACGACGGTATATTTACAAGGGGGTCATTTTTCCCTGTGTGGAGGCTAATGAATTTTGGACCAAGTATACTTGTAACCAAACCTCATGATTTAAACTACTGTTCGCAGATCATGCGTTATGGTGATGGAGAGATGGAGGGATTTGGATTGATGATATAGTGGAGGTTAGGAAATATCTTGGTAGCTTATTTTATGCTAGGGCTTTGGGTGCACTTCCAAATGGGAAGATGTTACTATGTGATTTTTGGAAGCTTTATCCTCCTTCCCTTTATTTTTTCGATCTATCCACGAGAAAGTTGGAACAGACGGATCTCAAACAAACTTGGGAACTACTTGAGCGGTGTGGTTGCAGAGATAAAAAGCTAATGTTTGATAACTGGTTTTATTTCAAGGAGAATATCGTCTCGCTCGGCCGTTTGACATCTAGCAATGTCATCAACATGATGACTGTTGATGAATGATGAGCCAGGGTCTGGAGAAACTGCGGATTAGTGATGATGATTTTCTAGTATAGTGTGAAAAATGTGGCCGCACATTTTATATATATACTTCAAATTTTATGTTACTCTTACTCATTTTTAATTTTTCTGTTGATGTGTTTTTTGGTTCTCTGATTTATACATGAATGATCAATGAATGTTTAAGTCATAGTGATCCGAGACATTTCTGATTAGTAGCTCGCAAAAAAATGGAGTATGATCATATTGAGATTTAGTTCATCAAAATAATTAATCTTAAAGCATGGGTAAATCATATACACGTATATATATAGCATTCCATTTATCCACTGAAAACAAGAGTACGGATGATTTTTTATTGCTTGGATCTATCGATCGGCTCGCAATTCTCTCGTGTAAGCCCTTTTCATATAGAAGAACATCAAGATGATATTATTATTTATTGTTTTTATAATGTGAAGATTTGGGTTTCCATACAATAACGATTGCTTGTTCTTAAACAACAAAATCCAATATTTTATTGACAGGTTTTCACGGAAAAGAAAAAGAACGCAAAAGAAAAAATGATAGACTAAAAATGGCCAAAAAAAAAAAAAAAAGGAAGGAAGAAAAAGGAAAAAAGGGGTAAAAAAAATTACAGTGACAAACGGACCGAAGGCGACCCGTGCTATTTGCACCATGTTGGTTTATCACATTGATAAAATATGATGTAACCTTAGGGGAAGAATATGTACGAGAAGTAAAAAAAAATTATTTATTTATCTTTATATTTTGATTGGATTTTTTCACTAAATAAAATAATTTATTTATGTTTATACTTTGAAAACTACTAGTATGTTTCTTGGACAGAGAATAATAAAATAGTCAATTCCAAAAACAAAATTTCCTATGCTATAGAAAAAATTAATATAAAATAATTGCGTGAAATACTATAAACATACAATATTTCCAAGATCCGAAACAGATCTATTTTGAAGTAGCTTTTAGGTCAAAATTGGAATACTATTTTGTTTCCTATTACAAATCGTAAAAAAGTAGCTCATTGTGGGTGGGGGTTTGAAAATTAATTTGTGCGCAATACAAATCAATCTGATTGATTTGTGTGCAACCAAAGGGTACCGCTTCTGACTTGAGATCCACAAAATTGGAACGATGCACAAGATTAACAAGACACACGACTCGGGAAAAAAGGTTAGTGATTTATGCTTCATAACCTTCGATCGATCGTAGAGTATATATGTTTGATCCAAATCATTCTCTTTGTTGATTTTGATTTAAATATTATTTTTGGGTCCAATAATCGTTTGTTATATCCTTCATATATATAAAACCCTAATTGCTACTTTGATGCATCTTCATGTGACATATTCTTCAGATTGTGTGTGTGTGTGTGTGTTTTTTGTTCGCCCACTGCCATATATACCATGATTTGATGAAGCAGATATATATTCTGTAAAACCCTTCACTTTTGCATATAAAAAATCAGTCTTCGCGTTCCCTCATACTTTAAAAATAAATAAATAAATAAATTTATCAGGTTTTCATCCGGCAAGATGTTGTCCGAGGACTTGATTTGGGAAATAATAAAAGACTTCCCGGTGAAAGAGCTGATGCGATTCAAATGCGTGTGCCGAACTTGGTTATCAGTTATTACGAATCCATTATTTACCAGGGCCTACCCTGGTGGTTCTCGAGGTCTAATCCATATCGACCCCTCCTCGTGGGCGAATCTTCGATGTTGTAACTATTTACATCGTATGACCTTTAATGGTGGTGGCGGCGGCGGTAACAGTGCGATCACTATCACCCCTGAAATTGTACTCAACCATATTGTGTGGGCCGGCCATTGGGTCCGATGGAAAGGATACACAAACATTGTGGAGGGTCTAATCTGTTTTTACCGGGACCAATATTCTTGGTTGTATAACATTACAACCCGCGAGATGGTCCAACTCCCCGATTCCACCAAACACGCTGAAGAAGAAGAAGATAAATACCATTTTGGCTTCGATCCTGTTAACAAACTATACAAGTTGCTCAGGATCATGTACCCAAACAACATTGTGGAGATTTTGGCAATCGGGAAAGATTTGTCCTGGAGAACCGTCTCTCATCCACCTGATGATGATCATCAGGTTATAGAATCTCAGAGCGTATGCTTAGATGGTGTTCTTTGTTGGATGGACGGATATGGTCGTCGAATTACGGCATTTGATCTTGTTACAGAGAAGTTTATTTTTATTCCTCCACCGGATCATGATGATGATAAATTGCCAAGGGAATCTTGTCGCTCCTCTTGGAAGCTAATGAACTTCGGGCAGAGTATTGCTCTAACCAAACCTGGTTTTCTTTCACACATTATGCGTTATTGTCGGGGAGGGGATTTTTGGGTTGAAGTGGTACCGGAAGTAAGGGATCTTTCGGATGTAATTTACGGTATGGCCCTCGGAGAACTTCCCAGTGGGAAGATGTTAATATATAATCATTGGCTTCATTGTCCACCTACCCTTTACATTTTCGACCAATCCAAGAGAGAGTGGGAAGAAAATGAGGTTACCAAGTTAACTTGGGAACAATTTAGAAGTTATGGCTGCAGAGACTTACGCTTTGAGAATTGGTTCTATTTCGAGGAGAACATCATTTCGCTCACTCAGTTGACATCTAGCAACAGAAAGGTTCTCATCGGTAGCTATTTTGACGACGATGACGACGAGTTTCTTTTGATGTAGACCAGGAGGGATAACTTGAGATTGATTTAGGAGAAATTGCCCCCAAACTGTGAAGCTGTCAATCAATCGTACAAGGAAAAATTCGTTATTAGGACGTCGGAATAAGTTTACATTTCAAATCTGAAATTTCTGTTTAGAATACTTCTCAGTGTTTATTATTGTTAAAACCCGTTTTAACTTTCCTTTATTCATTTACTTTTTTATTTTTATTTTTTCAAGTGTATGTCAATGGCGACGAGATTGGTAAAAGGAAATAAAGCTTCGTCTTCCTCTAATCCTTCCAGTGTCGATTAAATAAGAGAGAATAAGTAATTGAGGTGAAAACGGCACCTCAAGTTGCACCCTGTACAGATGCCCGTGAACTTTTCGACCATATTGTAACATTACTTGTCCAACTCATATTATTTCGGAACCGACCTTAATAAAAATATTTAATGTGGTGTGCTTTGGTAAAAAAAAAATGCCGAGAAAAAGGAGTAGAGAGGTATATTGGTCTCATTTTTTTGTCAAAAAAATTATCGAAATCGGATTTACAAAATCTGACCTACTAATTAAATTAGTTAATCGGATTTGGTAAATCCGACCTAATAAAATAATATTTTTTTGTGAAAAATACATGTAAAAAAATTGAGACAACAATCAAATATGGTACAGTACAAGGTCGGATTTTGAAAATCCGACCTTGTTTTTTTAAAAAGAAAAATTGAAGAGCGGGAAAATTTGAAAATTTATTATGGTGGGAAAGTTTGAAAATTTAATAAATGAACACTACAATCGGATTTCAAAAATCCAAACTACGTTTATTAAAAGAAAAAACTTAAAGTGTAGAAAACTTTGAAAATTTGTCCGAATTTTGATAGGAATTCACATTAAATTGACCTATCTAAATTTAAAAATTAAAAATTAAAAATATTGTATTAGATATGATAATAATAAAATCTTATATTATTAATAATTACTAGGAATTTCACATTAAATTGATAATATATATATATATATTACTAGTGTTGCATAGTATTATTAAAACGGTTAGAAATTTGTATTAAATTAATTAATTATAATTCATTTGTACTAGTGTTATGTACTATTTATACGTACTAGTGTTATGTATTACATTAATACTATTAATCACTATATATCACTGGTCCTAGTGTTATTTATTATTGTTAAATCTGTTAGTCATTAAATATTATCTAGATTAGTGTTACATAGTATTATTAATACTATTACAACTTAAGTATCACAAATATACTAGTATTACTTATTATTATTAACATTGTTACAAATCAGGTATCACATGTACTGGTATTACGTATTATCATTATGCTGTTACACATTACCACCATTAACATTGTTATCGATTACGTATTACTGTTACTATTGATACGCATGATTATTAATGTTGTTACTCATTAGGTATCTTCTGAACGCTTATGACATAATACTATTAATACTGTTATATATTTGATATCACATGTACAACTATTACATATTTTTATTAATATTGTTACACATTATTATCATTATAATATTGTTATCTATTACAATTTGTTTGTTATTCATTACATATCATATGTACTAGTGCTAGAAAGTGTTGTTAACTCTGTTAGTCATTACATAACACAAGTTCTAGTTTTATACAATTCCAGACAACATTAATATTGATACATCATTTTTTGTGGATTATATTGACACAATATCATATTTAAAATCTGAATTTCATTTAAAACCAATTTAGAAATAAAAATTAGATTTCACAAATTTGAATTTGCGATAAAATTGGATTTCAAACATCCGAATTTGCGATTAAAACGGATTCTTCTTATCCGATTTAAGCAATAAATCGGATTTCCAAAATCCGAGGTAAAGGTAAATTTGGATTTTTGAAATCCGATTTTTGTTTATAGTCGGGTTTTGTAAATCCGAGTTAAACCCTAAACCCTAAACTTGTCTAAGAAATTTCGGATTTTCAATATCCGAGTTAGTTAAAAAAATCGGATTCTTGAAAATCGATTTTACCAATAACTCGAATTTTGGAAATTTGAAGTAAACCCTAAAACCTAAACTTTTTTAAGAAATTTTGAATTTTTAATATCCGAGTTAACTTGAAAGTCGGATTTTCAAAATCCGATTTTAGTTTATTATGTCGAATTTTGGGAATCCAATTTTTTTTCTTCAATCCCTGAGCTTCTAATGTGCCTTATGCGGGTATGGGCACTGCAAGAATTATAAATTAAGATATTAGTATTAATTTTGCATTTAAAACCCAGCCTATTTCTTTTAAAAAAAATTATGTTTAATTAGTAAATCCGAACTTAGTCAAAAAATTAAATTAATTATTTTGTTTCATATTTATGTGGATGAAAAATATTTTTGTTATTGTTATGACATATTTGGACCGGTAAGAAAATTAGTTTCTCTTTTTTTTAAAAAAAAAATCTTTGTGGAAGTTCGGATTTTCAAAATCCGACCTTAGGCAAAAAAAATTTCGCCAAAAAAATTAAGTTTTTTTCTCTATAAAATATTATTTTAATGGTAAAACTCGGATTTTTAAAATCTGATTTTGGTCAAAATTTTATTTTCGAAAAAAAAAATTAATTTTTTACCAGATTTTTTTTTTATTTACGAAAGCCGGATTTAGCAAATCCGAGTTTCTTTTAATCCTGATTAAGTTAATTAATGTTGAAGTATTTATCTCACATTGGTGTCTGGAGACACTTTGTATCAGTATATAAGTATCATGGGCTACTCCCCTCATTGCCAATTGGTTTTGAAGTGGAACCCCATGACCTTCTATATGGTATCAAAGCGGGCTCGGCCTGTGGTGATTTTAAGCCGACGATGTTATTCTGTGGTCCAATTTAAGTCTGCAACGTTATTCCGCGGCCTGCGATGTTATTCCACGGTTTATTTTCTGATCCTGGTAATTCAGTCCAAGCCCGTTGGGCTTGAGGGAGAGTGTTGAAGTATTTATCCCTTATTGGTGTCTGGAGACACTTTGTATCAGTATATAAGCATCATGGGCTACTCCCCTCATCGCCAATTGGTTTTGAGGTGGAACCCCATGGACTTTTATAATTAATTTTTGGTGTTAACATGAAGCCGAATTTGTGAAATCTGATTTAAAGCGAAGGTTGGATTTTGAAAATCCGATCTCAATATTTTTTCTTATCCAAAATTCAACCTATATTTCTCTCTACTCCTATTTATGAATATTTTTTACCTAAGAAACTCTGGTGTGGTGTTATAAGGAAGAAGTGTAATGTAGCTTTTGTTCTAGACTATAGAAGATTGCACGGTAGTGGAGCGAATTATTTTATGGAAGCGGAACTTATCATGTATCTCTATTCGGCAAGCATGCATAGCCACGTAATATGTATATTGATTCGAAAGAAGAGTTCAATTTAAAATTACCCAGAGCTGAACTTGATTAGATCTAGTGATCCTTTATTTGGATCCTTAAATATATAAGCTTTCCGGGAAACATTTCGAGTTCATACTAATTTAAAAACTTTGCTTCCAAGCTTACTTCTAAGGCAATGAGAAAGTACCAAATTATGTATATTTACAATGGCACACAAAATAACTTAAGTGATGTGTAATAAGTTAGCTAGCCACCTAGGTTTGTTTACGACTTAGATAAATAGAATGTAAGTTTAAAAGTCTCTGTTCTAGGTTCTAAGATATTAATTAGTATGGTAAAAATTCATCTCATGAGCACGTATTATGACACTATTTTCTTCACTTTAGTATATTATGGGGGGTTTAATAAAAAAGACCTAATAGTTCATTTAAGTCCAGGTATGGTTTTGATTTAATAGTAAAGAATAATATTTAACCTGTTATTGTCAATTAACGTAGGACATGTCAATATTTTCGGGTTCTCACGGGCGAACCCTAAATTAAAAGAATTGAAATATGAATTGAGAAATAGAAGGCTTGGGCGCGTAACTCATGTTTTAAAATGATAGGTTGGTTTGGAGTCAAGAAAATGATTTGATGGGCCCAGTGTAGCATGAATGTCACAAATCTGAATGCCCCAGGCTGAGATACTCAAAATTTTGTTGGTTTGGCTCGTGTGTAACACACGTTGCTATAATTTTATCCATTTCTCCCATGCAAAGAGCCAAAGAGAGAGATACGCCCTTACGCTTTTTCGCAAAAGTGCGTCCATAGAGGAGAAATTCTTTTGGCAAATAAAAAAAGAAAATGTTTTTGGCAATACACAGCAGCCAGCCTTTAGATTTCATATCTACTCTGTTCTATGTACATTTAAGCTTCTTTCTTAATGGATGCCCTGCCCATATGAAAAATTCACGAAATTCGGTGGAACTATAAACTGAAATAGCTTATTATCCACTTCACTCTTTTTTATTTCTTTTTTCTTTTTTTTTACAATCTTTAAAAAGAAAAGCAATAGAACCGAAATCACACGGTCCATTTTTGGCCACTTGTAAGTTCGGCAGCGACCAAGATAAAAAAAAAAAAAAAAAAACTGGAGTCTCTCTCCACTCTCAGGGCGAAGTTCACAATGAAGTAAGCATGCAGTGCCTTTTATTTGTTGTTTTTCTGAAGAAATACAATTTTTTAAAACGAAAGAATATAATTGTATTATTACTTGCGTGACCATATATTTATAAGCTCGGTGGATCTTTACTTCCTTTTTTTCTTTTTCTTTTTTTGGTGTGTCTTATTCGAATATAAACATATAGACGAGAAAATCTAAAATACCATGCATACGGACTCATATTTTGTGTGTTTGGAAAATTGCACTAAAATATGGAGTACTTTTAAATGTTACTAGTATTTGAAGGTAATTATATTGAATTGATAGTAAACGTAACTGATTGCAACAACTATTGTACTCAATAAGAAATTACTAGTAAAATGGAGGGAAAACGTATCTAGTGATAAGAAAAAATAAAAAATGGAAAAAGAGAAATGTTATGAGTCGGTTAGCGGGAGGGTCCACTGTTTTTCTCCGCCGAGTACTTGAGTGAGTCTATCCATCAAGCCACACAAATCGTGACTACTCAGAATTCCCCCTAAATTCTCTGGTTTCTCTCTCTCCTCCTCTTCCTTTCGAGAGCAAGCTTAACGTTTAACAGGTACAATCGTAACACTAATGGCGAATCAAGGCGGTGGGGGACTGATGATGTTGAAATTCGGGGAGAACGCGTCGAACGCAAGCTGGTTAGTGGATATTGGCGACGAGAAGTTCGTGAGCTTGGAGTTCCGAAAGGCCTTACGCTACTATGGTATGGCTTGCAAAACTGCACCGGATTGTGGATCTTACCGGTGTAAGAAGGCATTTGGACATCTCGCGCTTGGTGAATTCGGAGATGCGGTGACGGAATTGGCCCCTGTAGCCACATCGATGGTTTTCAACGACGAGAGGGCAAGCTGCCTTTACAACCTCGCCTGCACACTTCTGATGTGAGTTTATTAATCAAATCTTGGAGTTTCAATCCTTCGATGATAACCTCTCTTTTTTTGATTCTTGAATTCAATTGATTCATTGATGATCGTTGTTATACCGTCTTTGTTTTTTGTTATTCAGTCTATCGTTCTTGTGCTACTTTCCTTTCTTGTTTCTTATTTCTGAAAAGAATGATGAATTGATGATGCTCAAGAAGATGCGGCTTTCTCCCATTGTACATAGCTTTTGAAAGAATCAAACAGGCTTAATTAATTTGATTAGTCTGGTGCTGTATTATATAGAGTTTAAGAATCGAACAGGCTTAATTACTTCGATTAGCCTGATGTACTCTATTATATACAAGATTACATGATAAGTACGTAGAAAGAATATATCTAACAGCTTTTAGTTGCTTGTACATGATAGATTATTGTACCTAATCCTTAGTTCCTTGTACAGGATAGTTTGTACCTATAACTCTTTGTTAGTCCAGTGATTTTACATGAATAGCTTGTTAGTGGCTCTATCAATAGTTGCAACCTGAGAGTATGATAGTTGTTGTGGTCTGTAGAGGCCAAGAAAGAGCCATCCTAAATACAAATAACTCATATTCCTGGTATTTGATTTTCATCCAGTTTTCATCCAAGATGTTCTCCAAGGACTTGCTTGGGGAAATTTTAAGAAGACTTCCAGTGAAAGAGCTGATGCGTTTCAAATGCGTGTGCCGAACTTGGTTATCAGTTATTACGAATCCATTGTTTACCAAGGCCTACTCTGGTGGTTCTCGAGGTCTCCTCTTCATCGAGCCCTCCTCGTGGCAGAAACTTCAATGCTATGGCTTTTTGCATCGTATCATCTTTAATGGTGGTGGTAATAGTGTGATCACCACTCAAATTATTCCTAACCATATTGTGTGGGCCGGCCATTGGGTCCGATGGAAAGGATATACAAACATTGTGGATGGTCTAATATGTTTTTATCGCGGCAAGCATTCTTGGTTGTATAACATTACAACCCGCGAGATGGTCCAACTTCCTGATTCGACTCAACATGCTGAAGAAGAAAATGTGTCTTGTGACAAATACCATTTTGGTTTCGATCCTGTTAACAAACTATACAAGTTGCTCAGGGTGTACCCCAACAGCGCGGAGCTTTTGACAATCGGAAAAGATTTTGCCTGGAGAAACATCGATTCCCATCCGCCTGAGATAGTAGAATCTCAAAGCGTGTGCTTAGATGGTGTTCTTTGTTGGATGGACGAATGTGGTCCACAAATTACGGCATTTGATCTTGCTATAGAGAAGTTTATTTTTATTCCTCCACCGGATCATGATGATGATAAGTTTTTCCGCCCGTATTGGAAGCTAATAAACTTCGGGCAGAGTATTATTCTAACGAAACCTGGTTTTCTTCCGCACATCATGCGTTACTGCCGATCTCACGATGATGGCGATGGCACAGAGAAGAGAGGATTTTGGGTTGAAGAGGAGGTAAGGGATCTTTCCAGTATAAGTAACCCTATGGTCCTCGGAGAACTTCCCAATGGAAAGATGCTAATATATAATCATTGGCTTCCCTGTCCATCTACCCTTTACTTTGTCGACCCATCCAAGAGACAGTGGGAAGAAGCGGAGGTTAGCCACACTTGGGAACAACTTAGAAGGTGTGGTTGTAGAGATTTACGCTTCGGAAATTGGTTCTATTTTGAGGACAACATCATTTCGCTCACTCAGTTGACATCTAGCAACAGAAAGGTTGTCATTGGTGGCTATGATGATGACGATGACGACCAGTTTCTTATTAAGGATACTGAAATAAGGATTGTGATTTAGGCAAAAAAAATCTTTTTTTGTCTTTAATGTAAAAGACGGTGTTGGTTCCTTTTTCTTCTTCTTCTTTTTTTTTTTTTTCTATGGCTGAATATATGTATTTTATTACTTACAAGTATGTTCATGTTTTGTTGCGTACAATGGGACACGATGGTAAACACTAGAACAGCCAAGAGATACCTGTGACCACGAAATTTATTTAGATACAATAACTATTCATTTGCAATTGGGATTTGTATAGAAATTTTGATATAGTGAAAGATCAATGTAAAAGATGGAGAATTGTTTTCCATGTAAGTATAATAAATTAAATCACGAAGAACCAAACTTTATGGTTTATTAAGTGAAAGAGACCCTTACAAAATGAAATATTTTTGTCAAAGATGTTCATCATGATGTGTCTTTTTTTTTTTTTTTAAAAGCAAACTAAGGGCTGTTTAATAACACGTTAAAATTATTCTATTACTTTTTCAATTTTGAAATATTAAGTCATTTTAGATTTGGAAGGATATTTCAAAATATAAGTTGTTTTAAAAATTCAAGGCATATTAATTATTAATTTTCTAAGTTTGCTCCTAATAAATTATGGCAACTATTTTTCATTTAGTCTTGTTTATAGGGGCAAAACAGATATTTGATACACAAATTAATTGTAAAATAATTGTTTATTTAGTTTATACGTGAAGTATAAGGTGACTTATATTTTGAAATCGATGGATTAAGTATTTGTTGGTCTTAATATATTTAATAGCAAAAACTTAATCTCTTCTTGAATTAAGTGGTACTGAAATTGCACTACAAAATATAAGTAATAAAAGTTAACGTATTACTTATTCTCTAACTGTTTAATGAATTTAATGTTTCTTATTCTCTAACTGTTTAATGAATTTAATGTTTCTTATTTTGAATTAAGCATAACATAAAACCCTCACCAAAAAATGGGTGAATTCTATAGTAGTATAGGGTTAATATGTTTATTCATCAAGTATGCTACTATAACAGTAACCTCCTAAAGCAGTTTACCGCCTAAAAAGTACACGTGTCAAGACGACGTTAAAAGTTTTTCCCTCAAAATATACTAAGTTAGCTTGTTGGAAATTGTCTCTTTTCGCTAAAAAAATTAATGTCTAAATCCTAAATTCAAGATTGGTCAAACTTTTTTGCGTTGTTCGTTGTGCAATGTTTATGGTCAAATATTGAAAATTGTATATCCAACGTTAAATGTACTTTTTTCATCAATATTTATCGTTAAATTCATTGACATTACTATTTTCAGTATTGACTACACGTTTTTATTAAAATAAATGTCATTATTCTATGAAGTGTTTTTTCAAAGTCAAATAATTTTTTGTCTTGAATTGTGTGAAGTATTAATATTTTTGTTAATTTCATGATTATTCATCATTGATTTCTGTTATCATTGTATGGTTTTGATCAATGATCAGATATGTTTAGCATTTGAAAATTAACTTAATTATGTGTCATATTTTAAAATTCATTTTCCAATGTAGATTTTACACTACAAAGCATCAAACACATTGGGGTTCATCATAAAATCAAGTGTCAAGACAAAATTTATTCCAAAGGAGATAAAAGTAAGATTTCAATAATATTGTCATTGTTGTAAGATACATTACATATTACAAATTCATGATTTCAAAGTTAAATTGATTGATATTTTCAGTTTCATTTATGTTTCTAGAATGGAAGATTCATACAATTTTTTTGTTGAAGATGTGAGCCTTTTGAAAATGATTGCAGTATGAAAGTTCGCATCATTCACATTTAGAAGCCTCCAATGTTTATCTGAATAATTTCTTTTTTTTTTAAATGTTATTCATTGATAAAAAGGTAAATTAATGTACATTCATCAGTTAAAACTTCATCGAGGAATAATTTGATGACGAAATTTTAAAACGTCATCGTTGAAAGTGAAATTATAGTCATTTTGAAATTTGGAGTTTTGGAAAGTAATGCAAAATACAAAATTGTTGAACATCCCTACAAGATCGGATTCAAGCCAACAACCATTGTGAAATCTTGTAATAATATGGATTCTATATCTCATTATCTCTTCGTGGATTTCATTTTATTTCATTTGATCAGATAATTAGTGATAGTATTAAGGTTAATATTATAATTGATAAAAATATAATTTCAGTTTATTATCATATTGTTCAATTGGGTTTACTTACCCAAGACGGTTAGGGGTTTAGAATATTATTTATAAATTTTACAATTTAATATATCATTATAAATTTTACTTATCTCATTACCCATGCATGTAGATGCTATTAGCGAAATAGTTGAAAACAATAATATTCTTCGCTATCAAAAGGATGCTAAAGAAATGTGAAAAATGAACATGGAGTTCAAAGATTTGAATTAAGTATCATCATTTAAAAAAAAAAAATCTCATTTCTATTGTACTCAATTTAACAGCTTGCTCTAAATTTAATTATTTTAATATTTGATCTTCATACTTATAATAAGAAAACTAAAATGATGTGCACACTTTGGGATACGTATGCTGATGATATGACCTCTTTCCTATTTGTTGGACGTGTCGGTAGTAATCTCCTAAAACAGTTTTCCGCCTAAAAAATACACGTGCCAAGATGATCTTAAAAGTTTTTCCCCCAAAATGTACTAATTTTCTTAAAGCTTAATATTGTACTTATATAGAGTTTAGTATATTTGCTGCCTTATTTTTTCTTTATAATTTATAAAATTATTTTTTGTTTAAAAAAAGATTGTTGGCAAGTGTCTCTTTTTGCTAAAAAAAATTAATTTCTAAAACCTAAATTCAAGATTGGTCAAAATTGCATTGTTCGTTGTGCAATGTTTATGGTCAAATATTGGAAATTATATTTCCAATGTTGAATGTACTTTTTTAATCAATATTCATCGTTAAATTTATGACATTACTAATTTCAGTATTGACTACACGTTTTTATTAAAATAAATATCATTGTTCTATGAAGTATTTTTCAAAGTCAAATAATTTTTGTCTTGAATTGTGTGAAGTAATAATATATTTTTTAATTTCATGATTATACATCATTGATTTCTATTATCATTGTATGGTTTTCATCATTAGTCAAATATGTTTAGCATTTGAAAAATAACTTAATTATGCGTCAAACTTTAAATTCATTTTTTAATGTAGATTTTACACTATTTAAGCATCAAACATATTTATTATACTAATTTTGTAAAAAGAAGAGTAAAATGTAATATTGCTAATGTATTGCATTATCTATATTGTATAGTTTATGAATTTGCAATATCAACTTTTGTCATTTTCTGTGGTATAGTTTTCCTAAAATTAACAAAAAAGTTAAGTTCCTTGAAATTAGTTGGCATCAATTTTTTGGTATTTGGTTATAAAGATAAAAAAATATTATTTTTCGCCAGATGCACATATTCATTTGCATCACATATTAGAAATTCATGAATTTAAAGTTACTTACGACTTAAGTATGTATTTATATTTAATATATGAATTTGTAAATTTTATTGAAGATGTGAGCCCATTAAAAGGTAACTGCAGATTGAAAATTCGAATCATTAAGCTCTCTAGGGTTATGTTTAAGAATATGAATTATTTTTCTTTTTTGTTGACATGATTTTCATTGATAAAGAAGTATATATGTATAACTTAATTAGAATAACTGATTGAATGTAATGATATTTCATATTACAAATTAAATGTTCTTATAAATCTCTTAATATGTGTTGAAGGAAATAAAATTCAAAGTTCTGTGAGAAAGAATATATAGCCAAAATTTTAGAATACAGTTATTGAAAGGAGTGTTGTATTTATCACTAAATTTGGTATTGTGAAAAATAATGTGAGATGGAAAATTTTTGGTCATCCGTTAATGAGTGTCAAATTTACATATTTCTAATCATTGTTTTTAGTGATTTTCCTATTGTAATATAATATTAATTAGATATGAATTGTATAATTATAACTAATTTTTGTACTTTATTCTGATTGAGGACTAAATTGGAAAATAATAAAAAAAACAGGCAATTACAAAAGGCAAAAGATCGGTGTTTGGATTGAAAATGCAATATGGGAGAGACATTTCCTGGACCACTTCATAGAACGACTTCTAGGCAACTTTAGGACTAATTTCTTGGCCTTAATTCTTGTATTTTTGGAGCAAACTGTAGAGGCCAAGAAAGAGCCATCCTAAGTAGCTGTTGTGGTCCTAAAGAATCAGCAAACGAACAAGATGGAGCAGTTGGAATCACGCCTGAAGGTCTAAGCTGAAAAGCAACGTCCAACCCTTGAAAGTAGGATTTCGTGTTGAATCTTAACTGTAACCACGGGCTGCTGCTGCCAATAAAATAAGAAGCGATGACCATTTGTAAAGGAGGCGGGGAGGAATCGTAGTTTAGTGTAGAGAATTTAGGGTTTAGCTAAATAGAGAATTAGAAGAAAGTTCTACAACAAAACTTTTTAGGGAATTTTACAGAAACAGACACTCATGTGAGTGGCATTTCAACTCGCTTGAATGGTCTGCTGTTATGCAAAAACTTGCTTCTTTAGTTCTATGTTTGCTCTCTCTTGCCTTGTAATCATGTTTTACATGGATTTTGTGTTTAAAATACAGATTCTGAGTAGTTAAGTTTTTTATTGGGGTTAAATCCCTCTTTCCATGTGAAACTACTTTAGATTTGCATTCGAACGATGTAAGTGTGCCAAGTTATAGTGTGTGAATTAACCTTGAGTGTAGTATGATCAAGGTACTTGCGCATGCATGCTAGGGGAATCCCGGAATGGTAAACTTAGTCTAGAACGACTAAAATTGACAGATGACTTAGAGGTAACAGTCAAAGATTTCAATCAAGATCGAAATTTTGAAAATTATGCGCATAATATTTTGAATTTGCAGGGTACCTTTTGTCTAACAAATGAAGAGTTAATTTGCAGGTCAGGAAAATTTCATCTATGAATTTGCACGACGAATGTTTATGGTGAATGGGAGTAGAGAAAAACGTACAAGACCAACTTGGGAATTCGTGTTTTCATGTAAGATAGTGGTTCGTTCCCACATCTTTTACTGGATCTTTGGCAAAGATCTATTTTTTTTTAATTCCAAAGTTATCTATTAATGGTGATTTTATCATTAGGGGAAAGAAGCAATTAATATTTCTTATTATATCCTGTTGAGAAAAAATGTTTAAGAAATTGAGTAAACCATATACGATATTTTTGAAAGAGTTTAATTTCAATTTGAATATATATATATATATATCTATTCTACTGATAATATTTTATTAAAAAAATAAGAGTAAAATGTAATATATTTAATATACAATTCTAATCGTATAAAAAATCTTTTGTTTTTTACCTGCGAGTCATGCCTGTTGGCTAACAAAAAAGTACAATACTATTGAGATAATATCTCTTGAACTAAGAAATAAACATTCGGTGGTAGAATCCTTAGATACAATATCCTGATTGCCATCATGAAGAGCTGATCATCTTTTGCTCCCCCGGTATTGATCTCCCGTGATAGCATGATGGAATGTCCTTGGTTTTCTTGTTGTTAAGTTTTAAGGCAAATTTTAAGGATTGCTGTCTTTTTGCTTGAGTTAATTGTCTGCTGGAGCAAAAATATTAAGAGAATCGCCTTCATTTTCATGCCAATTGTATTACATTTGATTGAGGTATTATACATTTGATTAAGTCAATTGTATGGTAGAGCCAATTTTCATTTAACCATTTTGTATTTACGGAAATTGGGGAAGCGTTACTCGCAGTAATGTTTTACGTGATTTAAGGAGATTGTTTTACATTTAATTTTATCAACTCAAGTTTTTTGTTTTAAGAAATTAGTATATAGCTATAATTAAGGGATTAGTATGGAGCTATAATTAAGGGTTTTATTTATTTATTTATTCCATCTTTTTTATGAATAGTCAGAGTGCCATATGTTAAAAATGATTTCGTACTGAAAGTGGCTTTTAGTGGGAAAATTTTCATTGTCGTGCTGACATGTCAGCAGCTTGTATGCTGCTTTAATTAAGTAATAATATATACTATAGACTAGATATTTTATGTATATTGTAAAAATTAGTGTTCTTATACATTTTTTTAATCATCTTCATTTGTGTGATTATATCGCTATCATCAGTATAATTCATGCAAAATTTTAATACAATTATAAAAAGATGAATGGTACAAATTTATCTGAAGATAAAATTGTTCATTGATACTTATATTATTATAATATCATTTACACATTATCTTATTTTCTTATAATGATAAAATATTAATTCATTTTTTAGCCGTGCATCGCACGGGCATACATCTAGTAAAATACTATACAAAAAGTTATTATCTTTATTATTGTATACGTACAAATATATATCCTTTATTCATGATATAATTATGATGTCACCGGATAAACCCCGGTGAACCGGTTATGTCCTCTGATCCGGTCCGAATTTATCAGTATCGTTCATCAATTTTATCTGGTGCTTGTCTGCTATTCCTCCTTGGTCTTAACGAATTCCCACATTCCCAACCATGCTTCTGGGGCACACATTTTAATCATCTGGAACTGAAACTTATGAATGTTGCTGAAATTCTGGGCTAATTCTACAAGTTAATGACTGTGACATTTCCCCTGCAATGCTCTTGTCTCACTTGTAAGGCTTTTTCCCTTTTCCATTTGCTATCTGGAATTGACAACATTAGCTTAGCTTGTTATTTTCTGAACTGGGTTCCTGCAATTCTCAATTTTGCCTTCGAAAGTTGCAATCTTGGTTTCTTTTAGTTTCTGCTTCCCTCTTGTTCTGAATGGATGTTACTGAATGCTAATAACCTGAAAATTGTTTTGTTCTGAGACATTGGGTAATGTTAAATCACGGGAACCTCATGTAACTCCATGGAGAATTGATTCATAGTCAAATTCGTCCAGAGTTTTACTGGTATGAACCATTGATGTACTATTTTTTCTTGTTGGATGGATGAAGTTTTTTCTTTTTTTTTTGTTGTTGTTGTTGCTGTTCTTTTTTTTTTCCGGTGGGGAGACTAAAACATTTTTTTTCTGATTCTGATATCCAAAGATAAAATCTTTCTGTACAAGAATTTTTCTTTTATGTGCAACTTTTTAACTTAGTTTCTGTTGGTACATTGTAGAGAAAACATTAGTTATTGAGGTTAAATCATGATGCACAATGTTGAAACTGGGGAGCGTCAATGGATGGTTAGGCATCTTTGAACCATATTTCATGACTTTGTTTCTTGAATTGTTGGCAGGAAACTTTCCACCTGTCATGCTCACAAGGAGAGTAATCTACTTATCCCTCTTCAGAAGAAAACTTTTCTTGCTCCAAATTGTGGTTATGTAGTAGAATTCTTTGGAGTGAAACCACACAATACCCCATTGATTACTGCTGCATTTTCCAGAAACAAGGTTTCATCGTTGGTTACCTCTGGTAGTTTATGCGTGGAACCAGATCACTTTACGAAGTTGTATGCCAACATTGGTTCCAAGGAGGTACTTCATGTTGTGGATTCCGGTCTGAAAGGAGATTCTCATTTCCTAGAGGAACGATCTATAGTTGAAGACACTCAAACAAACAATTCATCTGACCTTCCAAAGAGTTCCAACCTTAAGAATGAAAGGGAAACCGAAAGAAGAAGAAAGATTGGGATAGCAAATAAAGGAAAAGTTCCTTGGAACAAAGGCAGGAAACATAGTGAAGGTACCCGCTCTCTATGGCTTGTTGCTTTAGATAAGTTTCCGTTATGCCTTTCTGAAATCTAAACTCTCTTGCCAAATGCACAGAGACACGCAAGACCATTAGTCAACGGACAAAAGAAGCCATGAGAGATCCCAAGGTGAAGTCATGTAAGACCACGTAATATAGGGAGTTGTACTTCATGTCAAAATAGGTTAGATATGTGATGAGATTTAAGTTATTTAATGGAATGAAAATATTCCTAGATTCTACTTTTTTAGGTATAACTATGTTCTTATCCTCTTCCCATGGTTCATTAGCAGAAAGTTCTATTGGAACAACATTCCGTTACTGGCATTGCTTTTTCTTAACTCTTATCCTTTCTTTGGTGATGTTTTTCAGGTAAGAAAGAAGATATCTGAATGCTCTCGCTCACTAAGGTATTTCCATCAACTTTGCTAACAGATCTCTGTTCCATGTTCTTCCCTAATTTCATTCAAAGTGTCTTCGGATATTATGAAAGGGTTGCCAAATACTCTAGTTTATATTTATTCATAAAAATTTGATTTATTGATCAAAATTTGTTCCTGAATCAGACACTTCCCTCGGTCAAAATTTTTATGATATTGCCAAGCATAATATGTTCTCTTAAATAACTCCTGCAACTAGATTCTAATGATCAAAAACTAAAATATGATTTTGTTGCGCAGTAATGAAACAAAAGCAAAAATCAGCATGTCCCATCGAAAGTTATGGGAAGAACGTTTGAAGTGGAGAAGGTCAAGGGAGAAAATTTTCCAGTTATGGGCTGAAAACATTGCTAGAGCAGCTAAAGTGGGGCACAGTGACCAAGAAGAACTAGAATGGGATAGCTTTGAGAATATCAAAAGGGAGATACATATTGAACAGCTTGAACAAGCTGCACTAAGGGCAAAGGAAAAAGAAGCTGCAAGAATACGAGCAGAGAAAGCAGCAAAGGCAAGAGAAGCAAAGAGGAATGGACTTACAGAAAAGAAAAAGAACCGGGGGAAGAAAGCGAAGGTTGTTGGAGAATTGAAGAGAAAAGCTGGGAAGAGGTCTGAGGAAGATGAAGAAGAATTAGCCAGCAACCAAGAACTGAAGTTACGAAGAAACTTAATGAAGGTACCAGCCTTTATATTTCTTTCATACTAGGAAAATTTTCTGTGGCATGAAATTTGAAGATAGTTGTATCTGTTCCCTGTGCTTTATCCTTATGTTTATCTCAAAATTTCTTCTCTGCGCTAAAAGTTCTTCTGGGGTAAAAGAAATAGTCTAAATAGCCTGGTCCCCTTATTTTATCGTCATTTATTTGTTGTGAGTGAATAAATTACATTGCTCATTTTTCTGTGTTTCTAAGAACAGTGTAGCGAGTGATACACTTTGATGCATTACAAAAGACAGATGAGAACATTTATGGTGGTTTGAGCCCTGGTCACTTGTGTACTTAGTTCCTCTGATTCACATACTGTGGACATACTATTGAGTGTTTTACTGCATACATAGTTCATAAGACTTGCACAAAATGCAGCAATATATTACCGGCATGTTATCATCTCACAAGCTTCTTTTGTTGACAGATCCGCAAACAAAAATCGAGACTGAGCCACATCGACAATCAGAATCGACGAAGCTGGGAGAAGTTAGATGTGAAGTTAGAAAGAATGGAACAAAACCATAATCTGGCAGATCAAATCCGTGTCGCCAAGTGCAGAAGAGCAGAATTGATCACTCAGGAAAGTCTAAAATATACTTCAAGTAACCAAAGGCAGGAGAACCTCAACGAACTTAATTATGAGGTTCAAACACGCAACAAGATGGTATCTGTCAGATCAAATCCATGTCGTCAAGGCAAAAGCCCCAACCTTTAACTTGAAAACTCTACTATGTTCTGCCGGTCCATTGGGCAACATGGTGGTTTGAGTGAACCTAGAGGCCAATGCAGAGGCCACATAAGTGATTTTTTTGTTCATGAGGGGAGTTGCAGGTCTGTTTGCCTGGTGAGCTAATGGTGGTGACAATTCTTTTTACTAGGCAGAAAGTTTTGACCAACTGATTCCATGATTGTAAAGATAATTATGACTGTAAATCTTGTTAGACTTATATCAGTGTAATTCCTTAACACATGCTGATCTTAACATCTTTTTCTTTTTTTTTTGGGAAAAACGTCAATATATTACTTAGGCATCTAAATTGTAGTCAATGGTGCGAGGATGTTGTCACACTATTCTCCACATCAACTTAAGGCACTTCCCCATTGGACTATTTATGTTAACCAGGCAAATACTACAATGCTTGTCTGCCAATAATATTTTGGGAGCATTCACTGGCACACTTCAAGAGCTTTTGGATTATTTATGAGATCGATATCAGAATGTTGACACGAGATTAATCAAAACATTTCCATGGGAAAAGGTAGAATACAAATGAAGGGCAAGTGAAATAATGAACACCACCATCAGTTTGGAGTTTGGACTAATTACGTTCACAACTGGCAAATTCTAAATAGCAATAAGCCTAAGAGCAAAGAGAGACGTGCCATAGAGCAAATTTATAACAGGAGGCAAATACAAATGAGTCGAGCATTTCCACAGCTGATTGGGGTACCAAACAAAAAACATTCTTTCCAATCGCCCCTTCAGCTACAAAGCCATGTGCACATCAGAACGTACCAAACATCATTCTCATACTAAACAGCTCGATGACAGATGAAAGAAAAAAAAGAAAATTAAACTAAAGAACGAAGTCACTGTTATCAATATACATTAGATTTGCCTATTATTTAATCTCTCCCAGGGATGTTTTGGTTCTGGTAAGGACTTCCACCTGCTGTATTTGGTGTATAGCTGTTTTGATTCAGTGCAGGTCCAGATTGATAGGAAGCTCCAGGGTATGGTGGATTTCCATACTGCAGATTTGGCGCATTGTTGGGCATGCCTGCATTGCTGTTCTGGTAAGGGTTGCCACCAGCCATGTTTGGTGCATACCCGTGTTGATTCAGCCCAGGTCCAGATTGATAAGGTGGACCATTGTTTGGTACATTTCCATACTGATTAGCGACACCACTCATGTTGTTACTTTGATAGGGGTTGCCACCGGGCATGTTTGGAGCATAATTGTTCTGATTTGGCCCAGATGGAGACTGATACGGTGCTCCTCCAGGATTCGTTGCATTTCCAAATTGTGGATTAGGTGCATTGCCCGGCCCCATGTTTCTGGGAGGTGCAAAGCCTGGGTTGTTTGGCCCACTTGGGTACGTATTGCCTCCGTTATTCTCTTGCATCCTTGTTCGTTCAAACTTTCTAGAGCGGTCGTTGTTACGGGGTCTGTCATTACGCCTATTTCTCTCATTTGCACGAGCATTATTTCTCACCCACTCCTCATGATACTTGGGGTCATACGGAACAGCCTGTCCATTGATAAAGGGCTCTCCTGTGAAATCGAGTAATTGTATTAGCTACCAGCAATATAAGATTTGATTAATCTGCAAGACAACTAACTGAGACATACATATCCAGAAAGAAAAGCAGAAAATTTCAGTTCAACACAGCCCATAACAACAAAGCCGCAAAAACACCAGACTAAGCCAAAACACAAAGTTGTCAGAGAAAACATTTTACAACTCAATCACAGCTTAAACAAAACATAAATAAGAGAGATGGATGTTAAAATTGAAAGATGAAAAAAAAAGCGCTAGTTTGCATCATGAACAACCACAGGAATTTGTAACTCTAGATAAACAAGAATGGAAGGGAAAATGGAGTCCAAGGTACATTTCTAATCCTCCAATTAAAGGCATTCCAGATACAAAACCCAACCAAGCCAATGTGTTTCACAAAATAAATTTTTATTCACTCTGACAGTACGACAGCCATCCATAAGAGATCCTAAAACAAAAAGAAAATCGTACCTCCATAATCCTTGTTCCTGACATCCAAGTAAGAATCTGGGAGGACCCACCTCACCCCAGGCAGTTCTGCAAACAACAAACAATGATGCGTTAAACAATGAGATGTTAAAGATAGAAATGAGTTTAGGAAAAGGTAATAAACGGAGGTTCCATCTATTAACAACTGTTACCTTTGAGCTTGAAAGAGAGCTCTTCTGAAACAAGAGCTCCAAATGCAAAGTAGTGCCTCGTAGAAACTGAATATATTTTCATCCTTGCTTCTTCTTCACTGTAGGAGATGAGGTAGACATCTCATTAGTTCCCGTTAATATAAAAAGCACAAATTCCCACTTTTTACAGATTGCTGCTTTAGAAAATTCAGCTTCAATACTGAAAAAATTTGACATATACTATGGCCCACTACTAAATGAAAATTTAACACACTACCATCTTGAAGAACTCTCTCGGTAGATTGAATTATATAAATAAAATGCCATGTAAACATTATACAGGAATCCAAATAGTTATGCCACAGATTAGCAAATAATATCTCAATTAAACAATCCGGACAAACAGCAAAGTTTGTCCAGCATATTGCAAATACTTTCACATTTGAGTCACGAAAATGAGACTTCCAATTTGATCCTCTTCAAGAATTTCTTTTCTTTTATTTAGTGTGTGTGTGTGAACAATTCCAATAGCCATCAAATGGAACAGTATTCGTAGCAGAAAAAGAAAATAGAATCAAAATATTCCAAAACAATAAAGAAAAATAATTTCTTATCATAAAAACCTAACCTTCCGACGACTTGAGCCAGGGTTTTGATATAGCTGTCAATTATCTGGTCTCTGGTCCAGCTTTCATCCGGCTTCTCCACCACGACGAGCCAATGCTCGAAATCACACCCATCGAGCAAGATTGTCTCCTTCGGGGGGCGATTATTCCAGTTAGGGTTTGGATCATTGAGTGACGAGGTGGTCTGCCTAGTAGAGAATCCCCTCACATCACTCACCGATGGCGAGCTATTGCGGAAAGAAGCAGCGGCGGCGATCAGTGGGCGAAGGCGGAACAGTGACACAGTCGGAGAAGGGAGAGATTGCACCGGCTTGGAGAGCGGTAGCGAAGAGAAAGAACGAACGAGGAGAAAATCGAAGGATTTCCTAGTGGAAGTGAGCAAAGAACGATTCAGGAATCGGGTTGCCATTTCTTCGCCGTCTCAAATCGATCGGCTCGGAGAGGAAGAGGAGGAGGAAAATAGTGTGGCCGACGATAAGGAAGTGAATGATGATGGAGGATGAGGGTTTTAGGGGTTTTTTACTTATATAGCGGCGAGATTTACAAGTTGGCCCTTGGGCTTTAAGGAAATGTTATCTTCAACAGTAGTGACGTGTGCACTTTTGCAGGAAAGACAGATATTTCCTAGGTTGTTTTGATCTGATAAATTTTGGAATTATAATTTACTACCTTCATAGAGGTTTTGTTCCATAGTTCGATAGCAACAAATGATCCATATTATTGACTATTGAAAAAGTTCATAGAGGTTTTATTCCATAATACAATAGCAACAAATGATCTATATTATCGACTATTGGAAAAGTAAATAATACTTGAATGTCAGTAATTGAGGAGACTACGAGGATACATTGATAGAGTATGTAAAGTGTACACCTTAACTACAGAAATCAAGATGATTCTGTATTGTACAATTGTCATACCATTTCATCCAAATTACAGCTAAAAAGTTACATCATTCTTGCTCCAGTTTTCAACCATCTTAACCGCTAAATTAAACTGTAGCATAATTTGCCATTCATCCGTAACATATTTGCCACCTGATGGCCACTAGAAGTTGCAGTTATAGCGCAACGGATGACGTCGATGTAATATCCTTTGTAGCCATCTCCTACGTGCTTCTGGAGGCAAACATATAAAGCACTCTCTTTCGCCGTCATCCCTGAGCAGTTCAAAAGCATCCAGGTACATTTCACTGGAAGGAGGGATATCGACCATTTCATTCAAAAACTTTACAGCAGTGCTAATGGAGAAACTAGGAGCAGCCAGAGCAGCAGAAGAGTTTTTAATAGAAATGCCCTTTGCCAGCAACCTTTCATTTGTAAGATCAACAAGTTTCTGCACGCACCCACCTAATTCATTCATCCATGATTCTTCTCTGGGCCGAAGTTTCAAAGCAGGCTGTTTAGTAAATTTTGCACTCCCTCGCCTAGATGATTGACCAATGTAGTCATCTTCTATCTCCACATGCATTTCACGATCAAGATCCTCAAATCCAACAGGTAGGAGGTCATCCTGATCTTGCAGATTAATTGTTTGTTGACCAGAGTGTTCGAATACAACTTGATCAAATTTCCATGATCCTGAGCTATTTCTTGGTTCTGAAGTTCCTCTAAAACAAGTTGAATTTGTTTCCAATCCATCTTTTTTTCCATGTAATGGTGTAGGATTGTCAAAATCTTTCTTCACATGCTCATATACTGGACATATTCCTTCTGTTATGTGGCGCAGCAAATGTGTTGTCCCACTTCTACTAGAACACGTAAACAGCTTGTTGCAATGATTGCACTTGCACTTCTCATATGTTCCATCCTCCTTGAGGAGCTTTGTGAAATGTTCCCAAGCTTTAGACCGCAATCTTACTTCTCGTTTTTGTTTTTCTCCTGATATCACATCTCTTTTTCTTTTCTCTGCCGTATTAGCTTCAGATAAATCATTGGTATCCAAAGTAACCTCAATATTAGCATCTGACATCTGAAGAATTTAACATATTAATAACAAACGATGAATCAAGTAAATCTCCGGTTGAACAGAACTGCTTTTGCACATACTCCAAACCTCCCAGGAGGTAGCCACAAAACATAAATAAAAAAACACAATCCAAAGAGAAAAAATAGCAAAATGAAGAAGTTCTTTAGCTTCTTTTCAACAGCTGTCAGACGATACATAGACACATCAATTGTAGAGTCAAGTTTTCTTCAAAAATTCTAGAGTCAAGTCATCACAGAATTAGTCGCATCTGGTGCCTGTTAAACAACAATTCCATGTCTCTTGTGAGCTCAACAAGAGAAATGTAAAACAATATACTCCGTAACATCCTTTCCCAGAGAACTAACAGACTACCCAGAACCTGAAAGTGATAATTTTCATTACTATAAGTAACCTGCCTTTCTTACGTCTCTTAGCATACAGTATACAATATTTTAAATTCCAATTGGTATATTGAAGTTCCCCTCCAGTTGGAATTCTGGAAATGGCAAACTAGCCTTTATATTGAATACTTTTGGTGGCCCTGAATCTTCTTATATGGGATTCTGATTTCTGCCTAACTGAGTAAACAGTGTGCCAACTAGTTTCCAACCAAGTAAATTCTGAGCATGGGCATTTGAGAGTATCAACAAGTCAAAGATGATACAATGATACTACTCTTTAACTTTTCTTAGAACCTTTTCTCCCTCTTTTCCAAAACAGGAAAGTATGTAAGCAATAATTTACAAAAACCCAAAGCTTCTCCTGCTTGACTGTAAACATTCACATAATAGCAGAGATATTTATCCTAAAGCAACCATGAAGCATTCCCGAAAGAGTAACAATTATCAAACATGAACGAGTTATATGATAAAGTGAATAAAAAAATTTTAAAAAAAAAGTAGAAAGGGAGGAGTTACCGGAGCTACCGGAGAAGCCATCTGCAACCGGCCACGCCGAAGTTAGTATTGCGCCTGATTAAACTACTTGTGCTGCAAAAATGCAAAGGGAAGCCAAATCGAACCCGAAATTCGAAACCCTAATTGAGGATTATTAAGAACGGGCTCAATTTGGGCTGGGATGAATGGTGAACTTGGGGAAATTCATCGATGGGTGGGCAGAAATGCATCTTCGGGCCTGTTTGAACTTTGAACCAGCCCGGCTCGCGGACTTTCTTCTGTCGAACTTGACTGCTTTCCTCTTCTCACAGTTCTCACCCGCTCAACTGTTTTCTTGTTTTCCCATTCGGTGGGCCCGAATTCAATTAATTTTGGTATTCACTTATTATAATAATTCGATTAATTTAATTTCATTATTAAGTGAAGGTCCGTAGCGCACTATTCATCATCATCATCATCATTCATCACCAAACTGCCGTTGAGCCCTTCTCCAAAGCTTTTGGAAAGTTAGTCTTGATCAGATGCAGTATGATCAAACTGTTCGACACACCAATAAACAGTGAGGAATTAAAAGAAGTTACCTCTTTTTTTTTTGTTTAATTAACATTTGCATCGTCATATTCCAAATTGATTACGTATTGTTATGTTCCAAAATTTTTGTCTAGTTTAGATTTTTCATTTTTACCACAAATGAAATAAAAATAAAAATCCAAAATAAATAATTATTTTAGAACGGAATGAGTAGTTATTAAAAACTAAGCGAATATTTTAGTGACAAGTAACAACACAGTTTTGTAAATAAAGGCTACTGATTTGCAATATAGAGAGGTATGGGTACAACAGTTGAGATTGCGATATGAATAAATTATTGACCCTTTTCTAAACCATTTGCATAACATTAATCCAGGTTGTTTATGAAAAGGAAAATGAGTTGGGGATATAGTTAAACTATTCGGAAAGTGAATACTTTTCTTCACCTAATTAAATCACTTGATGTAGATAGAACCATAGTTCTCCTCTCTCTCTTTTTGGCAAGATTTCTTGTGCTTACAAATTCCATTGGAGGTAGCTAGATTAAAGCTGATATGGGTTTGAATCAATTGATACAAGTTACTGACTGTAGAAAATAATAGTGATCAAAGTCTTGTAGACAAGAAGAAACTTTTCCCTACTACTATTTGAATATGTGTCAACTATTTCCATTCTAAAATTGACATAAAATGACAAAGCTGGCAGTTGATGGAACAAAGAAGATATATCTGATGAGACTTCCAAAGTACCAACAAAGTAACCACCTTTGCATGGTCAACTTATTGTTTACCTGCAAAACTTCAGAACAAGCGGAAGAAAACACCTTCCTTTCTTTTTTTTTTTCTCTCCTGCTTTTTCATTTTCCAGTTCCAAATCCAGTTGTGGAACTTTAAAGTCATTGCTTCCTATCAGAAGGAACAAAATCTGAGGAATTTTTGGACTCATGAATAATGCTGGTTTTGTTTATTCTTCTTTGGGAACCTTTTCATACCTTCCTAAGTTAGATTATAGAAGAGTATAAAGGTTGGTGTGTTAGTTCATCTCTCCTTCCTGCCTTTTTTTAATTTCACCCAATGCCACCTTCTTTCTCACTTTCACTCATTCATCCTGTTTTCTCCTCTTTCTCCATGGAATTACCACTTTGGAGGCCGGATTCTGGTGGTGGGGGGAAGGATTCATACACTATAGAGACGAAAAATTTGTCCTACAAATTGTCCAGTTTATATGATAAGTTCAGTTTTTTGGGTGGCAACAACTCAAGGAAAACACCCCAGTTCATTTTGAAGGATGTTAATTGTGAAGCTAGGCCAGGGGAGTTGACAGCAATAGCCGGCCCAAGTGGGGCCGGAAAAACTACACTCCTTGAAATTCTTGGTGGAGTCATTTCATCAAGAAAGTTTTCTGGGCAGGTATTGGTGAATGGTCATCCTGTAACCGCGAAAAGTTTTCGCAGAATAGCAGGTTATGTGACACAGGATGATGCATTGTTCCCATTGCTTACAGTTGAAGAAACTCTCATGTATAGTGCCCTTCTGAGAATGCCAGGAGGGAAACGAGAGGCTATCAGCAGAGTTAAAGTGCTGATGAAAGAGCTTGGACTGGATCATGTAGCTGGTCTGAAGATTGGAGAAGGATCAAATCGCGGGATTTCAGGTGGGGAAAGGCGGAGAGTTTCCATCGGGGTTGATTTAGTTCATGATCCATCTGTGATTCTGATTGATGAGCCTACCTCAGGACTGGATTCAGCATCAGCACTTCAGGTAATGGCATTGCTGAAACTAATGGCTGCTAGACATGGTAAGACGGTTATTTTGACAATCCATCAACCTGGATTTCGAATCCTGGAGTTGATTGATCGCCTTGTTTTGCTGTCAAATGGATATGTTCTCCATAATGGTTCGCTAAAGCTTCTTGAACAGATAATGAAGTCTGCTGGTTATTGCATTCCTCCTCGAATCAATGTGCTTGAATACGCCATTCAGATTACTGGCAAAATATTCATTCAACTCTCAGAGGAATCTTCTGAAGCTCTTTTCAGCATATTGGGTTCCAGATATATAGTAAAAGCTGGAGAAAGCAAAAGGAGATATGGTGGTACTAATCGGAGGATTCTGAACTCTCAGTGCCCCTCCTTTGTTAATTCTCACATTGAAGAAGTTTTAATCCTTGGAGAAAGATTTAGCAGAAACATATTTAGAACGAATCAACTTTTCGCTACCCGAGTTATACAAGCTCTGGCAGCAGGACTAATAATTGGGAGCATTTTCATGAACATCAGCAATGATCTAAGACAAATTGCTCTACAGACTCGGTTAGGATTTTTTGCCTTTAGTCTTACTTTTCTCCTATCCTCCTCCACGGAAGTACTGCCAATCTTTTTGCAAGAGCGAAGGATCTTCATGAAAGAAACTTCAAGGGACGCATATAGGGTGTCTTCTTATGTCATTGCAAACACAGTTGTCTTCCTTCCATTTCTTTTAATGGTTAGTCTTCTCTATACAATCCCAGTCTACTGGCTTGTTGGTCTGCGGCACGACGTATACGGCTTCCTCTACTTCGCCTTGGTGGTTTGGATGATTGTGCTGATGTCAAATGCTTTCACAGCATGCTTCAGTGCACTTGTCCCAAACTTCATTATGGGAACCTCCATTATTGCTGGACTAATGGGGTCTTTCTTTCTGTTTTCTGGGTATTTCATCTCAAAGGATAACATACCCAATTATTGGATCTTTATGCACTATCTAAGTCTGTTTAAGTATCCATTTGAATGTTTCCTTATCAATGAGTATGGAGGGAAAGAAGGGAGCAGATGCTTAGAAGGTGAAACAGGGAAATGCAACTTGTATGGGCATGAATTCTTGAGACAACAAGGTGTTCAAGAATCACATAAATGGAGTAACTTAGGAATCATGTTGGCTTTTATCATTGGGTATAGATTCCTTTGTTTTCTGATTTTATGGTACAAATGTTATAGATGCAGAAGCTAGGACTTCTCCTATTCATTAAAGTCCCTGTAGATTCAATAATTTAGGGAGTATTGTTAATGTTTTCACTACATGTTTCCCTCTAGCCATTGCTCCTGCCTCCTGTTAACTCACTTGAGCTTTACATTCAAATGATGATTTATGACCAGGTAAAAAAGTAAGGACAATGGCTTTTCTTTTATTGCGCAGCAACTTCACGGGTCAACAAAATTTGTTTGTACGAAATACCATACAATGTAAAATTTCAACTAAAATTTACAAGCCTGCTATATGTACAAAGCATTTCAACTCCAGCTCAAAACAATTACTCAATAATCTGTGTGGTGCCTAAATCGTGAATTTTGACTCAGCAGCTAAATACTTCGGTCATATATTGCAGTAAAACTCATGGAAGGATATGTCATGGTTGTGTTTTCATCAGTTGTCAATGAGTCCTTACCGGAACTAGCAGATTCTATGGACGTTGAGATGTTCTTTTGACCCCTAATACCTAATAGCTCTTCCAGAAGCCTTGGTTTGGATAACTGTTTATCATCCAAATCTAGCACACCTGACAGCAATTGTACCACTGTAGACATGGTAGGCCGCTTCTTTGGCTCATCTTGGGTGCATAAAATACCGACCTTCAGGTACCTGGAGGCCTCATCAACGTCAAAATCATCTTCCAGATCCATATCTACTAACTGGAGAAGCTCCCCTTTCTCATAGAGTGTCCATACCTGTGCATTAAATCGTCATTGTGGGTTTTCAGAAAGAAACTGATAATGGAAAAAAGGCAATTTAGAAGATGGAAGATGAGACTCTAACTAGCAGTCACTTGAACTTTTCCCCATAAGATCATCAGAAACATGAAATGTGTCAGGACATTTGAAACTAACAAATCATTGATTCAATTCATTTTTCCTTCTCAGTACTGCTAAGTCTAAATTTTAAGAGTTATAAAAAGTTACTGATTTTTTTGTGATCTTTCAAGGAACTAATGGCCAAAGCCTGCAAGTGTTTTGATCCAGTTAGGTAGTACAGCCCCCACTACCATCACTAATCGATTTTGCTGTCATTTATGTAGAGACTAGCTGTCTGAATGGCTTACTTAGTTGATGGAAAAAGAGAAAAACTAAAGATCAGACTCGTGAAGCAATACATCCATAATCCAACTCCCCTCGTTTGTTATTCTAATGATGTTTATTCAGTATCAGCTTCTGTTTGTCCATCCCGTTCCAAAATCAGTATCACTAAACTGACACTTGGAATTTTGGAGAAGTGGGATATTTAAGTAAAAGGCAAAAAGGGAATACAGTGAGATGACAAACTTTTTCAGTACTATCTACATTTGTAGACAGTCAATCATCTCAAGTTGTTAAAGGTATATATCATACTAAAATGATTTGATCAGTAATGTATATCATTTCAATACAGACTAAGCGTTTCAGATATATTTGTTTTCTCATCTGGTGTCAAAGTCCAAACCTATGATCTACTCATACATTAACTTTTCTAGGTAGCATGTGAAGAACTAATGCACTAGGACATAATATAGTCAAAAAACAAACACACGCAAACATACCCTTTCTAGAAGATGTTGTTCCCCAACAGGTAACCGCCTGTTTGTATGGCATCTGCCACTCACAATTTCCATTAGGAGTACACCGAAGCTGTAAACATCAGCTTTCCGTGTCACTTGACCTCGAATTGCATACTCAGGAGCCAAATAACCTCTATGGACAAGGAAATAAAATATATTAGATCAATAGTTTTACTTGCTTTTTCTAAGTAATGTAGCTTGATGAAATACTTACAAAGTTCCCGCAACCCGTGTGCTAACATGGGTTAAATGAGATGGAAAGAGCTTTGCTAGGCCAAAATCTGAAATTTTGGGGCTTAGGTCCTTATCCAAAAGAATATTGCTTGCTTTAATATCTCTATGTATAATATGGGGTTGAACTTCTTCGTGGAGATATGCAAGCCCCCGTGCAACACCAAGGCACAGCTTAGTTCTTGTTTTCCAGCTAAACCGGATGTTGCTTCGGCCACCACCTAAACAGAATGGAAACTTAATATCTAGAAAACTTTTGTAAATTTCAAATGGTTGAGAGAGATATCAATTACCTAAAAGAGTTTGCGCAAGGCTGTTATTTTCGAGATAGCCATAGACCAATATCTTTTGGCGTGCCTCAACACAGCAGCCATACAACTTTACAAGGTTTTCATGTTCTAGACGTGAAATTGTAACAATCTCCGTCAAGAACTCTCGAACTCCCTGGCTTGAGTCAGAAGACAGAACTTTAATAGCAGCCAATCTTCCATCTCTTAGCGTCCCCTGCCAAGAAGAAGACATTAGGCCACTAGTTTTTACACAATCCCCCACCTCCTTGAAAAGGATAAGTTAGCAAAGGGTTACCTTGTAGACCGAACCAAAACCTCCTTCCCCAATTTTGTTCCCAGGACTGAAATCCTCAGTTGCAATCTGCAACTCTTTGTAGGTGTAAAGTTTTGCATTCTCCAAAGCAACTTCTGTAATCAATTTGAGACATATGAAGGCGCTTCCAAAAAACTTTCCAAAGAATTCCAGGGAAAGAGATGCTATCTTTCACATTTTAGCCATTTTCCTACTGCTATCAGCTAAAACAATTAACACAAAAGGCGTCTGATAATTGGCTTGTTGAACCAATCAATGCAAGACAATAAGCTCATTCAATAAAACTCATAAAACAGCAGTTCTACCTCAGATCTATAAAATCAAGAAATTGTAGGAGGCACTGAATTTGGTACTGAAATCAAAGATTCATACCTTCCTCAACATCTATTGTTCCCCAAGGTGGTGGACTCTTCTGTTTGAAACAGACAGTAAACAAACCCTTCAATCCCATTCCTCCTACAATTTAACTCCTGAGAAAAAATTGAAACTTGATGGAATCAATAATAGTTTCCAAACCTGAGATAACCAATAAATACTACCAAACAACTGACATTTCCTTTCAGATTAGGCGGCCTCCGCAAACTAGCTAAAAGAAATGTAGAGCAGATAATTGCAACAATAACCTTTTATGTTTTTTTCTTGTTCAGTAGAAAATTCAACCCCCTCCCCTCTCCAGTCCTTGTGAAAGAAAAGAAAAACAAAAAGGAGCATCTAAATAATACTAGCAAGCATGAGGCACCAAAAAAAAAAAAAAAAAAAGCACAACTATGCAATTTAGGATACAAAAACTATGTTAGCTTGACTACTACAGAGTCAAGAAGACCAAAGCAGCATCTGGACACAAAAACTAAGAACCAGAGAGGGAACCCATGATTTTAACCGTGTTTGTTGGAATCATTCAAGCATCAAAGAGTGAAAGAACAAACCTGAAATCAGGGGAAGGAAATCAGCCAGCCAGAAGGAAATTTTTAGCTGAAGAAGTAATTTTAGGCCTTGAGGTTTGAGTTGGTCGTGGTGATGATGAGTTTTGGTGATTGGAGGGCAAATTGCATGTGGGTTGAGCAAGTTGGAAGTTGACTAAAAGAAAGATGAATGATATTGATGATGTTGTCGTCTTTGACACACCAAAGGCCCCCTGGATGAAGAACTTGGAGTGGGTATTTCCTTGAATAGAATTTGCTCTTCTTTTTTTTTCTTTTTTTTGCACATAAGCCTCTACTGAGTCAACTCGTTGTTCTTGGTTATTCTTCTTACGTAATTCTGACCAATCAAGGTAATCACGTAGGCCTAATCTTTTGTTTGATTGTAATTTGTACTATGATCATGGATTGTTTTGTTTTTGCTGGTCAGAGGCCTTTGCAGCTGTCCTCGTGTCTGGTAGGTTATGACATTTATGACTTGGCGACTTTGTTTAGAGTGTAAAAACGTTGAAGCTTCAATGCCCCTGACCAAAAAATCGCCCATCACAGATATTCTTCAAAGTTGAAAGTTACTACTGAAGCTAAAGGCCACATTTAGCCAATTGGTAGGCAATTTTCTTACTAAAGGTTTTCCTTTTAGGTGATAACAATCCCACTCCACTCTTACAAAATTAATTCCTTAATCCCCGATTCGGTTTTCTACTTGTTTATTGAACATGACAATGAAATGGTTTTTAAAACATTTCTTTTGTTTTTCATAAGTCGTGAGTTCAAAATCACCAAAATAAATGAAGAACAACTATTAATTCTTTAAAGAAAATAGAATAATATACCCTCGAAGTTGAAAAGAAATGATAATTTTGTTTCTGACTATAAGACATTTTGATTTGTTTTAGATTTCACTTGATATATATTTTTAATTGATAAATTAAAACGCCTTATATTAAAGACCAGGGAGTATTAGATTGTTTGGTCGTCTCTCTCATCATAAAAGAGTGTTACATAACATTCATATAACGATATGCGAATAACACGTTTATTATGACTTTCCAGAAACACAAATCTAATGCTGTTTGAACGTATATATAAAACTTGGAAAATACACGAACGATCTTATTATAACCTTTTTCTTTGAAATTCACCCTGGTCTGTCTCTTAAAGGCAGTCAACCTTTTAACATTCATTGTTCAAGGCTAACGCGTCGGCGTGGCAAGGGGGGACATCAAAACTGGCCAACCAAAGTGCAATCTACTCCGATATGCATCGGGATCACAGACCAAAGTAGTTGACCTTTTCCTAGGAAACAAATTGAATAAAATTGATTAGTAGTAGTACTGTAGTAGTATAAAATTACAAAGATTTTTTTTTTTATTAATAACGTGTGGAATGAGCCGAAAAAAGAATGCATTAAGTAATCAAATTAGACAGAGTACTTTATGCGTTTATGACCGCACTCCTTTTCTTTTTGCTTTGTTTTTCTTCTTAGTATCCTTAAGAGTTACTTTTTCTGTTTTGACATAATTATCTAGTTCGTCCTTAAAACAGCAGAAGTGTTATTGCAAACAGAGTTTCAATTTTGCTTTGATCCAAAAGAAAAAATTAACTTCCACAGACCTGTTTGATGGTCCGCAGCCTGAACTCAGCTGCCGTTGTAGTTGTTAATGTTTGATAAACTTAACATTATTTTTTAATTTAATTGATGAGAAAACATCATCAGGTAGGGAAAGTCAACTCTTTTAATAAAAATTTATTACCTCCGTCCCACAAAAATAGTCCACATTGAGTTTTCAAATTTGTACTAAAAACAGTACAAAACTCAAAACTCATTTTGCAAGCTTTAAAAAACTGAAAGGAACACAAATAATTGAATGCCGCGACATTTTGAGCCAAGTACTATTTGAGAACCAGAAAGGTAGAATAAAAGGAGATTTTAATATCAAGGAGTCAAAGACTAAGATCAGTCTAGTGTTCACATTAATCTGATACACTAAAGTTAGATTAAAGGTCCAGCAAACTTGATGTAATTTTCTCAAATGTAGTAATGCTTTCTCATAGATCCTTTTCGATTTATGTATTTCCATGTTCCAGAAAACGATCCTTCTATTATTTCACACTGATTAAGCTACCAACATTGGTCTCTATGAAAAGCCCGTATCATCAGATGCCTCAAAGTGAGTTTATTCTGGTTTGTACAAATGCACCAAGTTTGAGATGTAGTGGATCACAAGATTATCTTTAAGAGAAACTTGGTTGATCATCTTTATTTGGCAGCATAGCAGACTTCAGAAACTCAGGACAGGCCGAGGAAGGTAAGATATACCTAGGAGGTACACTGAGTCCAAGCTTACTGACGAACAAAAACCATTGTCTTTGCGAGATCTAGTGCCGTCTTGCGCCCAAACAGCTTCTCTGTAATGGCCAATGCAAACTCCATTGTGGTTCCTGGCCCTCTACTGGTGATTAAATAACCGTCCAAAACTACCCGATTTTCCGCCTCACTTGGATCAGAAAGTTTGTTGCACATTGCAGGAAAGGCAGTTGCCTTTTTACCCTGGAATCGAAGATGTCCATGAAATTCAGAACTGAACACAAGAAGAGTATCGTGTCTACACAGAAACACTCGCAAATTAACAAGTCGGGCAGGAGAAAGAAGGAAACATAAATAACAGATTGTCAGAAATGACTATGTAACAGAAGCCATTCATTTGTCGTTTGAACAATCTACAACTTTTACTTCTCTACTCCGCCAAGAGCATTTCCAAAATTATTTATTCATTAAATGAGTACCTTGAGCAAGCCATGTGGCTCTAAGACTAAAGCTGGAGAAGCACATATTGCTCCATAAGGCTTGTTTGATTCCCTTTGCTTCTTCAGCAAGTTCACTAACTTCTCTGAATTAGCAAAGGCTTGCGCACCACCAAGCCCACCCTGGACACATGGAGAATGTTGAAAAGAAAGTTAAAAAGAACTGAAATTTGTAGCAGAAGGCGGCAAAAAGGATGATCATAGCTCACCCACCGGCAAAACTACAAAATCAAAGGCACTTGTGGTAGCCTCTTCAAGGAGTACATCTGCAACTAGCTTCACTTTTCTTGAAGCCAAAATCTCTAGTTTATCCTCTACGGATGCCACAACAACTTTAGCTTTAGCTCTTCGAAGGACATCAATGATGATAACAGCCTCCATTTCCTCGGTTCCATTTGCAATGGGTACAAGAATCTACGAAGGAAAAAAAGAAAAGAAAACATATATTAAATACACAACTGAATGGCACTTCCAACAGTAGGATTGTGCAGACAGGTATACAAAAGTACTTGAACACATTACAATACTTGTGCATAACTGTGGTGAGGAGAAGACAATGACTCCCTTCAGTTATCTCCAGAAGTTCTAAATCGCCAAAAATATCTCCAAAAGTTGCAAATTGAAACAGAGATGATAACTAATCTAATTATTAATCTCATCAAACAGCAAAGCATGCATTTTTCCAGGAATTGTAGCCATGCACATAGAGTACGAATGATAACAGCACCATGATGAGTGAGGACTCAGGAGGGAGTTAGCCCCATCCCCCCCAAAAACCCACACACCCCCACACACACACATCATATGCAAAAAAAGGTAAAAAGATTCATATGGCAGCGTCTTTGTATCGAACTGGCATATAGAGCAGTAATCAAGCCATACTGGCTAGCCATAATTACCTGAGGGGAACCATTAAATGTCCAGTTGACAGGATTAAGTTCTTTAAACACATATTCGTCTCCATGATTTGGACGCATCACCTGGGAATAAGCACACAACATAACAGTTACCAATAGAGAAATAGATGTAAGGAATAAGTCAATCAGTCCCTCAGTAGAACTTTTAAAAAGAGATCAAAGCGATTGCCGAACTACTACATGGCACAGCTAAGAAAATTTTTTGAGTAAATAACCTCCGCAAAATCTTGGTTAGGCCCAAGATGGGAAAGCAACATTAATTATCAAATTAAAGGAAATTGTAACTTCTACTTATAGAAGCCCTCTGTTGAAACCTTTTGATGCACCAATGATTTAGTAATAAAAGTGGATGTATATATAATGCAAGAGAACACAAAGCATGCACGAATTGAGCTTCTGAATCCATAACGAGAGGTTATTTTGCACCTTAAGACTACCACTATGCTTCCCCCTGTGGGACTACATTATAAAACAACGTTGTGGCCCAGAAAGCCAAAAATCAATGATAGTTCATCGCAGCCATATCGACCAGTAAAAAAATGATAATACACTACAGTGTCATGTTCACTCATAGGGCTTAACTAATTTAGAATTACAACAGTTAACAATATAACAAGGAAGACGAACAAAATGATAAGAGAGATCAAGAAAAAAAATAATAATAAAAGCAGATGCCAGAGATCCAGCAAGATAGAAAACCATCAACGAAGTAAAATGGAGCGGAAAACAAACTCTGAATTAGAAATTGACTTACAAGAGGGCCAGAAACTTCATCAGCTTTTTCTTTCCCAAATAATTGTTCAACTAGTGCGACAGCATACTCCATCGCTGTACCAGGCCCCCGACTAGTTACAACTTTTTCATCTTTCTCAACAATTGATTCAGTAGCATTTGCAGTGGATGACAATTGTTCCATGAACGATGGATAACAAGTGGCCTACAATTTCAGTCACAAACTGATCTCCTAAGCAAAACAATATCATTTCACATCAATGTAGACTGCCGATCATTACCTTCTTCCCTTTCAATAGTCCCCATGATCCAAGCGCAACAGCGGGAGCAGCACAGATTGCAGCATACAGCCGCCCTTCTGAATCCTGCTTCTTCACTATAGTTTCCAAAGTCTTGTTATCTTTGAGCGTGGCTGCTCCAGGCATCCCTCCCTTAAAAAAAAAATGACGATACAGAATATTGAGTTCAAATTTTGCAAAATGGTTGGACATTTGGATTCTGTAAATATTAAAACGCCACACTCCCACCTCTGAAGTTCAACGCTTGCTTATTATTGTAACGATCAAAATTTAGACATTTATCTTTGACTCGTGATAACTACAATTACGGAAGAAATCAGAAATATAATAAACCAAAACAAAAGCATTAAAGCAACGAGAGGAGAAGCATACCGGAAGAGAAATGAGGTCAAACACGGTATCGGCACAATCGGAAATCAGAGCATCAGCAACGATTTTAACTCCGTGGCAAGCATCAACTTGCAGCTGCTTCTCAACCGATGCAACCGTAACATCAGCGCCAGCTCTCCTGAGCACATCGATCGTTATCACCGCCTCCAACGGCTCCGTTCCGTTCGCAACCGGCACCAAAACCTACAAAACCACAGAAACCAAACCACCGAGAAAATCAGTTGCTGCAATTCAAAAGATAAAATACACTCACGACATTTCAGTAGCTTATAGAACACACCTTCTTAGTGGCAGAAGCCATGACTGAGAATGAGTAGAATCGCTGCTTGCTGGGAGTGAGGGAGGAGAAATGGAAGTGTTTGGGAAGTTGAGTGGGAGTCACGAAGGGGTAGACGCGCGTGATGTTGCGGAATTGGAATGCTAGAGAGTTCATTTTTTATGCAGGCTGCTGGTTGTAGTAACTTCTGTACTGTGTGACTATGTGTAAAGTTGAGGGAAGGCTCTGGAAAGTTGGATAAGGCCCCAAGTCCATGGTTCAATGGCTATGGCTTCTTTTGAATAGGTTCAACACGCCCCAATGGGCCCAATGGCTCCAAAAGGCCCCAAAATTTATTACTATCCGAGATAAGCTTTTTTGTCCTAATATTAAAATGCAAATTCTTCGTGTCAGCTCCGTTCATTTATTCGCTCTTCCGATACACTGTTTCCTCAGGAAGAAGTAACAGATTTAGTGAATCCAGCAAAATAACTTTGTGCAATGAATGATCTGTCATTCAGTTATTAGTAATTAGTACTGCACTGTTAGTAAGTAACAGATTCAGTGAATTTAGCAAAATAATTTTGTGCAATGAATGATGTGTTATTCAGTTATTAGTAATTAATGTGATTTCAATTTTTGTGAAATGAGCATATGAGGGTGTTGCAAAAATTATACTGTACTAATAAGGATTCGTTAGGAAATAACGTGATACATAGGCATTCCGGTTTTCTATTTATTTACTTTTTTTTTTGTGCAATCTGAAGAAAGTGATAATATGTTTGTAGGGCTTACAACGTAACCAGAGATTGAGGGTGATCCAACTAGCCATGCGTTACAAAAGAATTTTAGAGATTTTCATTTGCAAAATTACAAAAAAATAACCTAAGTGATGGTTAAGATTGCTAGTTTCTTGGGAGAGAAGGGGAAAAAAAAAACTACTTCCATTAACTAATTGACTGAATTTGATAGTTAATTTTTACTTATTACTCAGTCATCCTAATATAATTGTCTAGTTTCAAATTTTACTTTTAAAGTGATTTGAAATAAAAAATAAAAAATAAAAAATTCAAACTCGACAATACTTTTGTATTATGTATCTTTTTTAAAAAAAAAAATCCCAAAGTACCCCATTTAAATGTGAATAAAAATCCCCTTCCAAACTCCCTGGTGGGAATCAAACCTTATTCTGTTACTAGGATTATGTATATTTAGATTTACAATACACAAATCTAAATTGTTAGTCTTATCAATTACAACCATTATACCCGTTGAATTAATTGAACTGAGTAGATGATTAACACAAATCAATGCCCTTCATCCAGTTGTTTTTGCCAACCGTCATTCCATTATTGAATGTGATGTGTTCAAGCGAACCCGGAACAATATGTACGCATGACCCGATGGAAAAATAAAGTTGACAAGGATCCATAGATATAGTACTACTAAATACGATTATACTGTTCGAATTCCATGCACGTCGTTGTATCATTGTTAGTATTAGTACAACTACCCTTTTATTGTGATGATTGCGTTCAAGTGTGTTTTGGATGGTTTTTTTTTTCAGTATATTTTAAGTGTTTTTTTTTAATTAAGAATATGAAAATGTGAAATAAAAATATATTTTACGATAGAACATTCATTAATAAAAAATGTGGAAAAAAACTATAAAAAAATCATACAATTGATGTTAGAATCCTAGTTAAGTTACAGCTAAGATTAAGAGAGTAGTTTTCAAACGCACGTGTGAAAATTGATGCATTTTATCGTGAAGGAAAAAAGCATATATGTACAAGCTACTCCATAAGGGGTTAGTAGTATAATTCGTGTCATCAATTTTGTAGAACAAGGTTTTAAAAACATCAAATCAAAATACTATGAAAGAAGGGATTATCCCTCATCCCAACAACAAAAAAAAAGAAAAATTAAAAGACTAAAATACCCCCTCTAGTGTATATAGATGATTGATATTCAAATTACTCAATTCAGGTGAATATGGGGCACTTATGTCCATTCAACCCATCATCATTTCTATTTTGGGTAATTCTTTTATCCACTACATCCATCCTTTTCACACTCCCACTTGCTCGAATCCCCTATTTTATAGCTTTTGATTTACTCTCTGTATACCTCACAAAATATTAATATCCAGTTTATCGTATTAAAAAATTAAGAAAATTAAAAAAATTATTTCGAGAAAATAACAAACCATAATTGAGAACGAAAAGGTAGTACTTTACTTTGTACGCATAAAAATTAAAAATAATGGTAAAAGCGATGTAAAAATTAATCACAAGATTTTATTACAAGTGAACTGGAATATTGAGTAATAGTGAATTGATTTAAAAAAATATTTAAACTTGAAGCTAAGCGACAAAAGAAAGGGATTAATTAGGAGAGTAATCCCAATTAGGGAGAGCACATAAATAATGTCACAATTTTCACACATGGAGGAAGAGAAAGTGGTCAGTCAGTCATGCTCCTCTCCTTCTCTGGTTATACTTTTTACAGTACTTCTTCTCCTACTCTGCATTTCCTCCTCCATCTCATTTCGGCGCTTTTTCGTCCTTCCTCTTCCCCTGAGAATTTCTGATTATATTTTTTTTCCAAGCTAAGATAAAAGTGGGGAGGTCCAATTCCCGTTCGGTTTTTTTTTTTTTTAATCCACCAGATTCCTCCCGATTTCGCGGCTTCTTCGAACCCTAACTTTTAGATTCGCCGATTCTGAAATGGGGATCCTGAGAAATGGATGCTTCTGAACTTTAATCGCCTTTCGTTGCCCTCGTGATTCGTGATTCCTAAATGCCAGGTCGAATTCTGGTTTTGGGAGTGGTTTTCTGCTGAATTTTGATTAGGTATGATGGCAATTTTTTAATTTTTGGATCAGTTTCACTGAATTCCAAATTTTTGTTTGAACGCTCCAGTGATAAGTGTCTGCCTTTTGCATTTCGTGAATGACCGTGACCGCCCCCCGCATAAATGAGCGTTTTCCTTTGATTCTAGCTTATGTTTCGCTGTGAGATTTTGGATTTAATTTTTAATTTCCATATGGGAAATGTGCTGAGAAACTTAATGCTATGCGTGCTATCTTGATTGATTGTGTAATTACGACCTAAATTTATTAGTCTGGAATTCATTCACTTTTTCGTGCTAAATTTGTTTAGATGGCATATATTTAATTAGGTTGTTCACTCTACCGTGGGATATGATCTATTCCTTTCTTGTTTTATATTAGTACTGCTTGTATATTTGGAATTTGGTTTGGTCATAATGGAATGACATATTGAAGGACCCGAGTGTTACTTCAGTCCTGTTGTGAACCTATTTCTTCTGTTTGCAACTTTGCATTGCGTGGATGATGTTACGTTTGGTTACTAAACTGCCGCTAAATGCTTTGCCATTTTATGTACTGCTGGGGAAGCAAGAATCAGAACTTACCTGCTTTGTGAATTACACATTTCTTTCCTTTTGAACGTCAATTATGATGTGAAGAAACAATATCTCAAACTGGAAAAGTTGGCTGTGTTCTTTACTTTTCTCCTCTGTTATATGCCTTGCCTTTTTACTAAGAACTCATACCCACTTGTGATGATGGAAGCAAGATAGCTGTAACTTTTGTTGGATAAGCTAATAGGTTGATTAATCTGGAATAACACGCAAATCTATTATTTCTTCGTTTTGTGCAGCAATGTGTACCTTTGTCGCTTAAGTTTGTGGGTTCTCACTGCAGGTATTCTGCCTTAACCCGTTATCCATTTGGTCTTTGGTGGATTACTGTACATCAATTTCAGTGTATGGTGGGCCCAAGCAATGTATGAGGGGTAACATTCATCAGGATGAAATTTACTTTAGTCCCAAGAAAGCTCTTGTGATCCTGTCATTACCATTTCAGGAACCGAGACTTGAAATACTTGGCAAACATGATTTTTGGAAAAGAATTTGAGGAGTTGCAGGATGAAACTGCTACTGGATCATTTGATGAGACTCAGATTTTTAAAGAGGTTTTTCTTCAGGGAGGAAGTGGTAGTAAAAGGTGTCTTGTTACCAGAGCTGTAAATTTTGAAACTGATACCAAGCAAACCAATGTATCTTCTTGTTCAAACAGTGCTGGTACAACTTTAGTTAGTCAACTGTATCCTTGTGACATAAAAGAGGATCCACAAGGTAAGTCTGGAGTGGGATGTGGTAATGAGGACTCTTTCTTCACCGAACATGAAATCAAGAGAGCAAGGTTATCGGTGAATGATTCTTGCAGTGGACCTAGCTCTCAAGCATCTTGGAATTCAGCTGGTTCTTCTGAAGGTGTTGATTCTAGTCTGCCTGGTGCAAGTTGTCATTCCGTTACATATCGTTTGGTTGAATCATCCAGTCAGGGGGTGACTTCTGGCTGCTATCTTCTGAAGCGTAATCTGGAACCAAGTGCAGGACATGAAAGTGATGACAGTAAGGAATGTAAGTTGACTAGCTTAGACAAATTTAACGAGAAGGAAATTGCTGTCAGTAATACAATGGCGCCAATTTCTCAAGATAGTCACACTACCAAGCTTTTGGTCAGCAAATCACCTGTCACTGCTCTATATACAACTGCTACAGGTCGACTTGCAAAGCCAAGATGGAAAGACCATTGCTTTCTGGAACTGGATGAGTCTGAATTGTCATTGCCAAAAGATGTAAAAAATGATCCCCGTCCCCTCCTGAGGTACCATATCATTTCCTTGCTTGGGGCATTAGGGTGGGTGGTTGGGAGGCGTAGAAGGAACAATAAACAGAATGTGGTTGGGGAACATGTTTACAAGTCCCCTGAAGGAAGGCCGATCCGCGAGTTTCATAGAGCTTGGAGTATGGTTCGTGGAAGATTGTTTTCTGATGTAAATAACATTTTACGGATGACTGATTATATACAATGGACAGATGTGACTCAGTTCAGAGACGATCTTTCTAGAGCAGCTTCAGAGATAGAAAAACATCTGGGTAATTTGAATAGTAGTGCTGCATTAGCTCATCTGTGGTCACTGTTGGACCCTTTTGCGAATGTTGTTTTTATTAAGAGGACGCTCCGCTTGTTTAAAGAAGGAAAACCAGTTAAAGCTAGGAGGAGTATTGTGATTCATCCGTACGGAAAATGTGAATCTGGTTTTTGTTTGGATGCCAATCAGGGTTTATTATCTCACAGTTCTTTGTACTCCGAGAAAGGAGATACAGACTCTTTGAGTAATGTCACTGCTACAGCTGCTAAATCTAGGAGTATATCAGGTACTGAGAGAATCAGTTTGAAGCAGAACACAATCTCGGTTTGTAAGTTGGATTGCCCCTGCAAGCAAGCTGGTATTAGTTCGTCTGATGTTTCAGTAAGTTGTGGAAATGCACATACCTCACTTAGAGGATTTGATACTGTTTCCCCTGGACAAGAAAGTGGTCGGAGTTCAGTGACTTGTGACAAGGAAAGATTTGATCACCATGAGGATTTACATGCAAGAGATCTTGTGGATGCCTCTATGCATCAGTATAAGGTAGGTGATGACACCTTTGATATAAGATCACACAGCCTTGACTTGGCATCTCTCACTGCTGATTCTACATGCAGAAGCTATGCCTTGAAGTCGGATAATGATGATGCATGTTTTACTGCCCAAAAGAGGAAAGTGTCAAAGAAGTCCAAAAAAATTTCCAAGATTGGACTTGCTAGTAGTTTATATCATAATGACTCTCAGCAACGTTACCTTCCAGAAAACCACACTGTAAGGGCCTCAAAAAAATCTAAGAAATGCGGTCTTAAGGATGATGATCTTTTGATTTCTGCAATTATTATTAACAAAAATGCGAAAGCTACCCAGAAAACATCCATCTGCAAATCCAAGCCTCCGAGGAAGTGGAAGAGGCAGAAAGGTAGTTGCAAGCTGCTTCTTCGAAGTCTTAACAGAGGTGGGAAGCATTTGATTGAAGGGAAGTGGTCTCTAGTTGGTCAGAGAAATATATTGTCCTGGTTACTTCATTTAGGAGTTGTCTCCCTCAATGAAGTGATCCAATATCGCAGCCCGAGATCTGACATTGTGGTCAAAGATGGATTCATAACTCGTGGAGGAATATTATGTAAATGTTGCAATGAGTTGCTTTCCATCTCTGAGTTCAAGCATCATTCTGGTTTCATGCATAACCGTCCTTGCTTGAACCTTTTCATGGAATCTGGCAAGCCATTCACCTTGTGTCAGCTTGAGGCCTGGTCTGCTGAATACAAGGCCAGAAAACTTACCCCTCGGTCGGTTCTAGTTGAAGAAATAGATGAAAATGATGATAGTTGTGGACGTTGTGGCGATGGTGGTGAATTAATCTGCTGCGATAAGTGTCCATCTACATTTCACCCAGCTTGCTTGTATGCTCAGGTTGGTATTTTAGAGCTCATTTATCATGAGCCGCTTGACTTTTTCAAGTTTTCTTTTCCCTCTGTTATGGCCATTTTTTGGAGCAAGATTTGGTTTTGTAGAGTTGGGATCTTAAAGTTGCATTTAAATTTTCAACAGAAATCTTGGGTAAGTTTATAAGTTTGGAGGGGGAAGATGATTTTTAATGATTTAACTTAGTTAACCTATGCAAAGTATAACTTTCTATTTAATGGCTACTTTTTTTTGTGGGGATTCAAGTAGACTTTCAATGTTACTTAGATTTGGGATTCTATGCATCCAAATTAATATGTGATTCCTGCCATCCTTTATTGTTTTCTCATGTTGAATTACACGCCTGGGCATTTATTACTGTAGAAAATCAATGTTTTTTATTTCACATGAGACGGAGATGTTTGTATTTGATATGATCAACTTCGTGGTTATGACGGGTCAAGGACCTTAATTCTGATTCTGAAAATCTATCAGGTTTTGAATGTTACTTCTAGTACCTACCTTATAAGCGGAAAAGTTTGCAGTGTGGCTTCTTCTTACCTCTTAGAATCATTTGAAATGCTGCTGGAGAAGAATAGTAGGTTTCTTTAATTATAGCGACAAAAAGCATGACGATAGATGGTCACATGTTGTAGTCTGAAGATGCTAAAATCTATGAACTCTTAAAATGACATATAGGGACTATGGGTAGCTAAATTTCCTTATTTGGCACTAATTCTTGGATAACTTGATGCTTACGAATTATGCTTGGTTGATTAATTTGTTAATCTTGCTGGGAAGTAAATTTGTAATTAGTATGGAAAGGGAAAAAAGAACTATTTTGGAAGGATTGAGTAGATCTTTTATTTCTTCACTCTTCTCTGCGATACTTGCTTTCCTTTTCAGAGCTTTCCTTCTGTCATCCTCATGCCATGTTATTGTTTCTTGCAGCACACAGAAATTAATGTTTAGTTTACAAAACTGTCACATTTACTTCAACTGTTTGTTTTTGTCAAGTTGTATAATACATTTTCTTCCTGTTCCTCTCTCACTTCAACTCCACCAAAAGGTTAAGTTAGGGTTTATACTTGGTTAATCAGATACATCCGAGTAATGAGCTCTTGGTTCCACTGTTTTCAGGACCCCTTTTGTAACATGGGATTTTCTAGTGTGTATTCTAAATGAATACACAGTTTTCTGTTCTCTTTTCGGATGGTTGAAAAAGTTTAAAGGTTTTTTGTTCTGTTTAGCAATTATTCATGTTTTTCCTTTTTTATGTTCAGGAAATACCTGAAGGAAATTGGTATTGCCCACAATGCACTTGCCGGATCTGCTCTGATGTAGTGGATAATAATGACTCATCTGGACCTCTTGGCATGCTTAAATGCTCGCAGTGTGAGAATAAATGTATAGTTCTCTCAACTATTTTGCTAACAATTTTTGAGATAATGTTTTGGAATGGGAAAGGGTTGGAAGCTCAAAGAAGTGGAAATAGGATCAACCTAGGAAAGATGTGCATAGTAAATGTTATACATTTGGAAAAAGAAGTATCTATTGGATAACTAAAGGTAACAGGAAATCTTCAAGAATGTTGAATGAAATTTCATGAATCTCTGTAGAGATTGAGATCTAAGTACGTTTAGATTTGACGTTTGTTGGATTTAGTTTTACATGGAATCAACCTTCTAACAACATAGTCTGCTGTAAACACGTGATTCTAATGTGTAGAAATTACTATTCTTTCACCTTGTTATTTTCCTGCCGAACCTTTAACTTTTGTTTGAATGTGAATTACGTAAGTGCATGTGATTAGACAGCGTACCCCGGTGTTGTGGGGGGTGGGAGGTGGGGGCTTGGTTAGGTTGTGAAGTCCTTTCTTCATCGTTGCATATGAAAGATTCACTCTTCACAGATCCAAAGTATGTAAACACATATATGGTAATGTGATTCCCTTTTACTTTACAGATCATGAAGCTTGCTTGCTGCAAAGGGGGCTGAAAATTGAATCTGCTTCTGATACCTGGTGTTGCAGTGAAAGCTGTGAAGAGGTAGGTGTACAAGTATGTAGAGAACTGTTTTGTTCAACTGATATATTCCGAAAGGCCCTTTATTAACTGAATGAAATGTGGATTCTCCATGTGGTTTCTTGTCCAGCCATGTAAAAAATGCTTCTAATTATCATCAATTAGTGTCAATTGGGTGTCCATATCATAAGATCTTTAATGCAATTTTAGAAAGGATAAACCTTAATTTTATTGCTGCATCTATTGGTGAATTGCATATTCAGCATTGAGTAGGCTAATATTGCTATATAGGATGGGAGGGATGTAATTTATCACGAAATGGAGGAATCCTTCCTTTTATCAGTTTAAGCCTCATTTTTCCATCTTTCTTTGTGTTCTTTCTCCTACACCAGTGCTAATATGTTAATGGTAATGGGGTTGCCTATATCCATGGGATAGGGGATTATGTCATTTGATTTTGAAAGATATTGGGGTTGTATTTCAATAGAAAGCAGTTAATGCTTTGCTTGGACAAAATTATACTCTTATCTACTACTATATAAAAGCAAGAACCTCAAAACCTACAGTACTTCCGTTGTTGAAAATTCCACTGTCCCAGCATTAAAAGTGCACATTTGTTGTAATTTAGTTGAAAAGTATGCCTAATAATACAACATTTTCAAGTCCGTACCAAAACATGTGGCTGTTTCAATCCCAGTAACTTTTCATTCAATTAAATTTGGGCTTAAATTTTGGGTTTTCAAGAAAAGAAAAGTTGGGCTTATCTTGTTTAATTTGTTAATCCCCTATTTTTTATATTTATTTGTTTTTTCTTTTTTTAAGGGGGATAGCCAAACAGGGAACAAAAATCTTGTAAGGAAGTCTAAGGGGGGTGTCTGGAGAAGTTGTGTTTGTCGTTAGATGGAAAACTTATTAGGTTTGTTAGTGTCATTAGTTATCAAAGATTAATTAAGTATAGCTAATAAATTGGTTGTTTTGAAAAAACAAAAATGTTAATCGGTAGATGAGTTTTTAAGAGAAAGAAAGGCAATGAGAAAATGTTTGCTTGTTTTTTTAATCTCTTTTATTTGGACAAAAAAGATGGTTATATTTTACATGGAGTACAATATAAAGCTGTCAATAAAAATTTAATTACAATTTTCTTTACGGAATATGTATCTTACCTCTAATATCAATGTCATGAAAAGAATAGATGAAACTGAGATAAAGGGGATGATTCATTGAGGTAAGTATAGACTATTGTCCCATGAGATTGGAATTTAAAAAACTTGTTTGAATAACTCAATTTAAAAAAGATAGAAGCCAAAGTAAAATTTTAATATATTAGAAAGAGTATAGAAGCAGGGAAAACCTAGTTATAATGAGATCGGTTATCCAATTTTGTTTTCCTAGGTTGCACCTCAAATCTACGGAACTTTCCAAACTTTCTCTGACTCGTCCTGATTTGACTATTCTATCAACTGTGTCATGCAGATTTATGCAGGTCTTCAATCTCGCATTGGGGTCATGAATCTCATATCTGATAGCTACTATTGGACTCTTTTGAAGTGTATTCATGGTGATCAGAAAGTTCATACTGCACAGAAGTTTGTTGCTTTAAAGGCGGAGGTCAACTCGAAGTTAGCTGTTGCTCTTACCATAATGGAGGAATGCTTTCTTCCTATGGTGGATCCTAGAACTGGAATAGACATGATACCACAAGTGGTCTACAACTGGGGGTTAGTTCCTCTGTGGTTGGACTTGAACTTGTTCTGCTTATATAGCTGTCTCTCTTGTGTGAAAATTTCAACTGCTGACATGATGTTTTCAACATATTATTGAAGCACCCTACCCTCTGCGGTGACCTATATGTTGTTGGACTTTTCGGGTTCTGGATTGCTCTTTTAATTCGTTATCTTTCATTCTAAAAAAGAGTTGCTTCTTTTTCATTCCTGTTTCTGCTTCTGCTGCAATCACTACTGTTAAGATTGCTTTTTGTTTTTTTTTCTCTTTCAGATCACAATTTGCGCGCCTTAACTATTGCGGGTTCTACACCGTTGTCTTGGAGAAAAATGACATTCTAATGTCTATAGCATCAATCAGGTAATGGTTTTTTAATCTTATCTTTGGTCATTACACTGCTTTCATGATTTTTGTAATTTATCTACTTGAAGTTGCTTCCTTTCAACATTTTTTACATGGCTTTCCTGCTCTGATGAGCATGTTTTACTTTAAAAAGGACAAACAGTAATTTTTTGGGGGGCCCACTGGTTGGTCCTCTGCAGATGATGTTGGACCTGAGTTTGAACTGGTCCATATATTTCCTGTATCACCCACAATAAGTATTAATACGAATGTGGATGCTCCCACTTACCTCCTACTACAGTTAGTAACTAATGTTGGCTTCACTTTAAGTTGGTTCTTTGATGAGAGCATCTGGGTTACGTCATCATCACTTCATTCCACTTTTGTGCTTCAGTTCTAACGGGCTATACCATTTTTACTATACATACTACTCTGAGATTTTCTGCTGACTTTGATCTTTTATCTTCCTTTTGAGTCACTTCCTGTACAATGGTATCACTTCATTACTTGTTTTGCTTTCCGAGATGATTGTCTGACAAGCTATGTGGAGTAATATTTCTCAGTCATCTAATTTCGTGTGGAGATGCGTTATGTAATTTTGTTCTTTTGCTTTTCCAAACCAGAATCCATGGATCAACAGTTGCCGAGATGCCACTAATCGCTACATGTTGCAAGTACCGTCGCCAGGGGATGTGCCGCCGTCTTCTCAATTCTATTGAACAGGTGAACTTCAATCTTGTACTTTGGTTCTTAGGAATTCCATTTTCTAATCCATAATGTTGATATATTGGGGGACTTCCTGAGAAGGTTAGAGCTCACAGTTTGTTCACGTTTGAAAACATAAAATTGTAGTCTTTCAAATGTTTCTGCTGTTTGCTATGAATCAATGGTTAACAATGCTTAATAGGAGCTAAATCATGTGATTGTAGATGCTCAAGTCTCTCAAGGTCCAGAAACTTGTGATATCTGCTATTCCTGGTCTTGTGGAAACATGGACTGAAGGTTTTGGCTTCAAGCCCTTGGAAGATCAGGAGAAACGAAGTTTGAGCAACTTTAGCCTGATGGTGTTTCCTGGAACTGTATGGTTGAAGAAGCCTATGTTTGTGGATGACCCCTCTGATAAATTATCAGGTAAATGTCGATTCCCCCGTCTATACGATGGTGTTCATCATTTTTGCTATCTTTTGTAAAACTTGGTTGGCTTGAAAACAGAATGTCAAATTCCCTCCCCTGCTGGAGCTGCTGAGCCTAATCTTATGGCTGGGTGCATCCAAGAAGACCTTTTGGGGCAGCCTGGAGAACAGTCAATTCCCTTTCAGGAACACCGACTGGAGGAGTCTGAGGGTGAAGTTAGTTTCAGGGTCTTCGGTTCTGGGTCAGAGCCTCAGCTTTGTTCTTCAGTTCAGGATGGTTTCCAAGCGGAAGAAGGCCAAGAAGTCAGCAACACGGCTGATGAAAATCCAAAGTATGATGAAACAACTTCAGTCCGGAGGAATAAGACCGGACATTCTGGACAAGAAGACGCGGAGTTTACTGAAGCTCAATATGTGGATTCTGGATGTGAAGATTCGGAATTCGCTGAGGCTCAGTATGCAAATCAAGTAACGCGTGTTTCTTCATACAATGGAAGGTCTTCATTTTTGGGGAAGTCCCAGCTGGAGAAAGTTGGGTGTTTAGAGGGTCAGGAATTGTATGAAAGTAGAAACAGTTTAGTGGAGACAAAGAGTCCTAGAAAGATCAATGTAATTTAAAAAGGGTTAGAAAAGAAATTCATTTATTCTTTAGGGACATCTGGGATATGAATTGGTTCCCGGGTGATTGCTTTCCGGTGCACTGCACCCTGTTGTTGTATGCACATTTTTGTCGGTTATATGTTACCCCCTCACGAAAAATGGTGAGGACGTAAAACCTTTTTTTTTTTTTTTCCTTTTTCTTTTTCTTTTTATGTTCTGTCTGGAAAATTCTTTTTTTTTTTTCCCGGAAAAGTTATCAATGGGAGTATATTTTTTCCGAATGTGATGTAGGTACGGAATAACTTCTCCAGTTTAAGGAAAAATTGTAAAGAAATCATAATAAGATCTAGTCCTATTACAATTTTTTTGTGTGCAAATTAATTAGCTGGTGTTATTAGCATAATTCAACTAGCGTGTTGGACTATACATTTTGTTAATTTAACTTGAGCTTTAATATTTGTCTTTTTTTAATATTAAAATATTAAACGTGTTAAAAAAATATTGGACCGGTGTTTGCTGAGCTTCACGACTGGAGATTTTCCGACTCGCTTTCTTTCTTTTCTTTTTTTCATATTTGCAGGGTGTCTACCGTCGGCAACAATATTTAATCCCCTCGTTAAATTGTTGGCACCTACTCGCTTTCTTTCTTTTCTTTTTTTTACTAGTGATGTCTGGTCACGCATTAGCTCAATATATCTGTAGATCTTATAAATGTTTGTATCTGAAAAAAAAATATTTTGTATTTGGCCCGATATATTTTAAAAATGTTTGAAGAATTTAGAAATGTTTTATAAGTGTGATCATAGAAATGTTTGTATTTGGTATAAAAAGAATTGTATTTGGCCCCGTACGTTTTAGAAATGTTTGAAGATTTTAGAAATGTTTTATAAGTGATACTTCTTAAATATAAATAAACTTAATCAAATATATGTCTTGAAATAAATGCTAGACAAAATATAAAAGCATCCTAAATAAGTTAAATATTAGTAAGATAATTTATTGATGTTCTCCATTGGTTGTGCAAAATCAATATTTAGTTTTGAAGATTTATAATAGCTTTGTAGAAAGCTTCCTCCAAAGGGTATATGCTTAATTATTGGAACTATTTCTTCCAAAAGTTTATAGGTAGTAAAATATCAAAAATATGATTTTGAAATTGGTTAATTGTTGAAACTGGTTCATCACAAATATGAGAATGAAAATAATGTAAATTTGCATAGCTTTCGAGTTATAGCAAAAAAGAACTCACCTCACTATGGCAAATATAAAAAAAGACAGTAAAAGATAGCCCATTAAAAATTGAGAAATTTATTTTTTTCGGTAGGTAAAAATGATGTATAAAACACAAATAAACATAGAAACATCATTCCTTCCTTTTCCGCCTCAAATTCATAAAAGGCTTCCCCATAAATTAGTTAGAAAAAGCGACCTGAACTATTTATATGATGAGGAACTACAAAAAGTCCAAAAACCAAATCCAAAAAAGTATATTCTTGAAAGCCCGAACACAAAAAAAAAGAAACGCGCTTCATTTGCAAATAAAATTTTATAATAATAATAATAATAATAATAATAATAATAATAATAATAATTGATCAAGTGGGAGTATGAAACAAAATCAAAAGTAATTAAACAAAGAAAAAACACACTTCATAACTAACCATATACGAAAAAAAACCGAGACTCCATAATTAAAAAAAAAAAACCACTCTAATTGAATGAAACATAAAAAAGAAATTTAAAAAATCACACTTTGTAACAAAAACCCAATTAATCAATTCAATCTAAACAGAACTAAAATCATACAAAAATTCTAGGCTAACTAACCATATAAGAAATCACATTATATTATCTGACAACGGTTACGGTAGCTGTAACGGATGGAGGCATTAAAATAATAGTAATAACACTATTCTTGAACGGGAAAAATAAAAAATAATAAAAGCCAAACAAATGATCTGTGGAAATAAAATCATTTAAATTTTAATACCTCTAATGGCACCACCACAACGGCCGAAGCAAGATCAATGAGAAATTTTTTTCTTTTCCTTTGTGTTTATATAGAGAGGTAAATAGAATATTTTTTGAAGTCGAAATTTTATCCGATTAGGATGTAGTTGATCATCACTAATGAAAAGATTGAACATGGTAATAGGAAAGAGGTATATTGCACCACATATTCTCAATTGATGATTGATGAGGAATTTGGTTTTTTTTTTTTTATTGTGGAGAAGGGATTGATTAGGGAGTCGAGTGTCGTGGAGATGGGGATGAAGATTTGGACTGCATTATTTGCCTTTTAAGTCTAGGAGATGTGGAGACAAAAATTTATTTTAAAAATATGATGTGGAAATGGCACATGACAAATAGTAGTGCTAACAAAAATTTATTTTAAAAATATAATGTGAAAATGACACATGGCAAATGGTAGTACTTTCTCTTAAGTGTGGTTTTTGTTTTAAGATATTTGCAGGAGTGTCCACCGTCTGCTGAATTGTAGCCACCTCGATGGGTGGGACAAGTGATCAAAATATTTAAGATTACTCCATGTCCATGGCAAGATTCGAACCTCGACCTATGGTTAAGGGTGGAGGAGTCCCTTCCCACCCCACCACAACCACTTTGTTTAAGTCGCTTTCTTTCTTTTCGTCTTTCCTTGCAACTTGGAATTGGAAGTATTGTATAAGAAAAAAAGAAAAGAAATTGGAAGTGGAAATCCTTTATCTTCCAAAAGTTCAATACAGTCAAATAGGAGAGAGCTTTGCAAAGGCACAAGAATGAATCCCACCGAATTATCTGTTCCATTCACTCTCTCAACATTAACGTTTTCTTTTTCCTGTAGAATATGGTTAGCAAATGGTGATATTAGCTTCGTATTTGCAGATAAAAAGGCTTGCTTTTTTGCACCCGATCACTCCTCTGTATGTGGAATTCTTTGCTCTGCGTGTGTGTGTATTCAGAAGCAAGGCAATTTAATTGCATGAATCCCGAAGGGGATTCTGTTTGCATTGGATGGAATATTCTGGGCGTGGAGGCGGGACACTGGAGGAATTGGGACTTGGTTGACTGGAAGGAGATGAAGACGTAGCAATATGCAGTTTGAGGATATTCAAACCTTGGTTTTTCTCATGTTCTTTGAAATGTTATAGTCTTTCACTATTACATTTTATTCATTGAAGCATGTTGCGTATTTGAGGTTTTGGACTGAATTCACTACTTTTGTCTGTTTATTAATTTTAGTTTTTCATGGAAGTTGTGATGTGTTGTTTTGTGTTATTGCTTCTCTAATCATTTCCATGGGTTTTACCATCTCTCTTTAAGGATCTGGATAGAATCGTTTTTATCTCCTTTTATTGTGATTGATAGTTAGGGTTATAAAGTAGATAAATTTATTTATTTATTTTTTAGCTTGGGTGGATTTGGAGTAGAATTGTGTTGATTGGGTTTTATATTATAAACATTCCTGCAGACATAAAATAATTCTTTCCAAATGTTTCTGTTTCTTTCATGTTTGTGGAAATGTGGCTGGTGGTAGTCTGATGGAGTTTATTGTTTCTCCTTTGTTAGGCACCACTAGAAGCCATTATGTCTCCTTCAGCACTGTTTTTATTTTATTTTATTTTCGAATTAATAACACTCCGATGGAAGATGTTTTTTCTCTTCATCAATGTTTCCTTCAAATGAAAAAGTTTAGATTATCAGTACATGAACAAACCACTGGTGTTGGAATGCTGAATAGTTTGAATTATATTGATGAAAGTGTGCTTATGTGTTTCTGCTCTTTAAAGCAGTAATTCAATTAAGCACGGGTGCTTTACAGAACTTGATATGGCTATTTGAGTTGAAATAACAGGGAAAGAAATGATGATCAATCCAGCATGAACCACATTCTCACATCCAATTTTTTTCCCCTCTGATATTTGCTCTTTGTTCTCCGTGTTAGCTCCAGAATCTTTTCCCTCTCTGCATATCACTTAAGCCTTTGTTGGAGTACTCATATTTAATTGATAAGTTGCTTTCTTGATCACTTCTTAGCGCTGTAAGGTTTCGCGAACTCTCAATATCATCTTAGCTTATAGATTGACTGCAGGAGCATATTTTTCTGTGTTGGCCTAATGGGCTGAGGGAAAGGGTGCTCCTGGCTTTCCCACTTCTTTTTTAAATTTTTATACATAAAAATTTATTTGTCATTCATCTTTAGATGGGAAATAGGAAGAGTTCCTAATGTTGCTTAATTGTTGTTCTCATGGTGAATGTACATGCAAGTTTATCCAACCGATTAATGCTTTTAGGAAGTTGTAACCACTTTTAAGGTTAATGCTTAGTAAAGTATATGGTGCTAGCAACGCGAAGTAAGTCAAAGATGAATTAGTGATGATGTCACATATATTTGGGGGGGGGGAGATTTTGTCAGAGAAACATAGTGGTTAGTGATGCTTCCATTTGTTTGGTTTGCACCAAGGTTAAACTGTTGAGCCTCTCTGGTCTCTTTGTATTGTTGGGCCCAGGAGAGTTTCGAGTTTCAAGGGCTACAAACGCTATTCTAGTACTTGTAGCTTCTTCAAACTTCGCCTGAGTCATTATTCATTCATAAACTGCCAACCTGCTAACCCCCTTTCTTGGCCGAATCCTCAACCATTCCCAATGCAACCAGAAGAAAAAAAGAAATGACATGAGATATGAATGAAGGTCCAAAAATAGTTAGCACCCTATAAGATAGATGAACAAACTGCCTAAAAATCTTGAAGGTTAGAGATGTTATATCTGTTTTGGGCTGTTAATTTTTTTAGCCTTTTGTGTTCGTAACTTGTTTTATTTGTCTTGTGGAAATTTGTAGCTTACATCAGTAAGCCTTCATGAACCTTGTAACCTTTTTCAAATTGTATTCAGTAACTTTTGTGATGAAGGTAACTGTAATGCAAGGGCGAAATGGAATTGACCACAATTATTATGGTCTGACATGGAAAAATCAATTCGGATTCTACAATTACGGTTAAGATTAGTTCCCTGGATGTTCGGACTTGGAACTGCTTCTTTGAATTTTCATATTTGAATCCGTATGGAACTTTGACAAAAACAAAAGTCTGTTAGACTCGAAAGTTTGATTTATTATATTGTGTTGAAAACATAAGTTTAGCTCGAATTTCTTGTTAAGGCCATGATGTCTGGTGTCGACTCTTCAATGGACCCTTAACTTAGAGCTGGTGATAGGGAGTAAATAAGACATACTGCAATTAAACAAGTGAAAGTTAGCCCTTCTTATGCTTGTTCAAGACGATGGAAATCTTAACTATGCTGGTATTTGAATGGAACCCGACAAATAACTAAACTGCCAGTTGAATGAATGCTTTTGCATGTGGCTGGCGAATTGAATCTGTGAATTAGAAAGCAATTACTTTATAGGCACTTTTCTTTTATGTGCTGCAGTTACATGTATTCTGAGAGTCTGAGTTGAACTTAGATTTCCCCAGATCCCACTGGATGTTATTACTCGTTGTTTGGAAAGCTGATGGTTCTATTTTTACCACCTTTCTTATCCTTGGAGCATTAACATTCCAACAATCTGAGGAAGAATAGTTATGACTCAGCAAATTTTGTTGTCTACCTCTATTTGTGATTTTTTTTAATGATTGGAGATTCCCTTTTTAGACATCTACTGAATACACTGTTTTGCTGAATTGTGGTGCATCTTAATGGAAGGATCTAGTTATTCTTCAGTGGGAGGTTGCATGATTCATAGCTATTTGTTATGTTTTGCAACCTGATTCCTTCTGTAATCTTGCACCCTGTATGTTTAGGTACCATGATTTATTCTCATAGAGGTAATAATGGTGTGACAGCTCCTGTGATTAGTTTAGAGATTGTATGTAGTTTGTAGCTCCACACTGTCGTACTTTTTGAAGTTCAGTTATTCAACTTTTTCAGTGTTTCCTGTATGGGTGGCTTCTGTCAATGACTTATTTCTCATGGGATTAACGCGGTAATTTCCTTTTTTTGGATTATTTTGATTTTCATTTTTGCTTAACCTCTTCAATGAAGATTATTTAATCAATTTCTAATCCTTGCAGTAACATCTTTGATTTTCAAAGACCTGATTTACGTTTTGAATTTCCCGGCAGTGACTTAGTTAGAATAGTTGACAATGGATAATGGGAGACGTTGTGCAGACGTGCATATCACTATGTAGTTCTTCAGGGGCTATGGCAAATGGCTACATGATTTGTGTGGTGAAGCCTTGTTTCTGTGGATTCATGTTGGCCTTTCCTTATGATGTTTGTTCACTAGTGTATCATTTTTGGAGTATGACGTTCAATGAGAGAGGACCCAGAAAAAAAAAAAACAAAGCAAGAAACTCATTTGCTGGTTGAAATTGCAACTTTTAGCATACAAGCTGTTTGGTCGGATATGTTAGTGTTGTGTGCCACTACATAGGTTGGACTTCTGAAGGAGGTTTAGAATGTCAGTTCTTTTGGAAAAGTAGGATCCTCCCCTTTTGGTAAAAGATTTGCATCCCATTTTTTTCCTCATAAGTATTTAATTATTCATTCTAGAGAATTGCCGGTAGAATACTTATGTAGATGAGGGAATTGTTCATGTCCTAGTGAAGCACAAGTAGAACATTTTGCCGTGAAGTATTTTTACTCTTGTAGATGTATTGTGGAATTTGGTAAGGAGTACGTGCAGAGATTTATCACCAAAATTTTCTTATGTTTGGTGGTTTTAAGTGTGCTTACCAAAATTGTGATGCCACATTTAATATGATGGCCGTGTCACTCTTGTAAATTAAACAAGGTATATGGGGTTAAAGATGAGAATTCGGCCCTGGGTTTTGCCTATATATGTCGTTATCCTCTCTATCTTCGGCAGTCATACCCTAGCCGCAGCCGCTCTCACTCTGATGAGAGGGAGGTCTATCAAAATGTCTTATGGTCCTCATACAAAAGAGTACCGAAGTAATAGGAAGAAGAAGAAGAAGAAGAAGAAGAAGAAGAAAATTTCCGTTTTATTACTCATGAAAATCATCGAATTAATTATCTACCAGATTTTCCCATTGTTGTCATCTTCGTTGTTGTTCCAGGTTGGAGGACCTTTTTGTGTTTGGATCTAACTTTTCCTTTATCTCTTTGATCTTCTTATGTTTGCTTCTCTTCATTGAATGTTTTGACAGATCTAATGAATTTATTTTTGAATAAAATTGACCGTGGATTTTCTGTGTGAATTCATTTTGTGATTCAGAGTGCAGGGCAATTGGTAATGTCCCCAGTGCCCTTGTCAGCTTTGCGGACACGGTTGAAGAAGCCTACGTTTGAGATTGACCCCTCTGATAAATTATCAGGTAACTGTCAATTCCCCCGTCTGATAGGATAGTGTTCATCATTTTTGCTATCTTTTGTAAAACTTGGTTGGCTTGAAAACAGAATGTCAAATTCCCTCCCCTGCTGGAGCTGCTGAGCCTAATCTTATGGCTGGGTGCATCCATGAAGACCTTTTGGGGCAGCCTGGAGAACAGTCAATTCCCTCTCAGGAACACCGACTGGAGTGTGAGGGTGGAGTTAGTTTCAGGGTCTTGGATTCTGGGTCAGAGCCTCAGCTTTGCTCCTCAGTTCAGGATGGTTTCCAAGCGGAAGAAGGCCAAGAAGTCAGCAACACGGCTGATGAAAATCCAAAGTATGATGAAACAACTTCAGTCCGGAGGGCATTCTGGACAAGAAGACGCTGAATTTACTGAAGCTCAATATGTGGATTCTGGATGTGAAGATTTGGAATTCGCTGAGGCTCAGTACGCAAATCAAGTAACGCGTGTTTCTTCATACGATGGAAGGTCTTCATTTTTTGGGGAAGTCCCAGCTGGAGAAAGTTGGGTGTTTAGAGGGTCAGGAATTGTATGAAAGTAGAAACAGTTTAGTGGAGACAAAGAGTCCTAGAAACAACAGTTACGGTATCAAAATCATGACTTGTACTAAACCAATTGTGTAATTCTAGGGGTAAAATGTGTCCCCGTCTCAGAAAAATAGTCCACATTATTATTTTGGGTTTTCTTTTAGAGTTAGTTAATTATATTGCATCTCAATCAAAACTTTGGGCATCACAGAGGTATGCAATCTATCAAGTACCAATGCTCAACCTGAACAAACACCTACAAAATGAGCACTCAATCCATTCCCCGGATAAGTTTGGTTTCCCTGAAATTGAGTTATCCAGTTTTCTGATTCTGTTTCTGAGATCTAAAAGTTTCCTCCTGTTTACTTGCAGACGTTGTATTTGTAATGTAATAATCAAATTTCTTATTCATCATTATGTAATGATGACCAAAAAAACTGTTCAAATTACATCTATAAACTCTCTATTGTGTTAAAGAAAAAACAGTAAATGCTAAAAATTGAAAGAAAAGCAAAATATAAATAGCAGTAATAAATTGGATGCATAAAGAAAGACTTAAATGAATAATTTATTTTTTTTCTTATAACAACTACCGGCAGTTTGACAAGCATTGACGGACCCTGTAAGCAAGAACTGAAGGCAACGAAATTTATTTTCATAATTAAATTAAAAGGAAAAAGAATTAAAGAAAGGTCCCCTGAAATTTAATGTAAAAAATTAAATCATTGGTAGTGACAAACTGACAATGCTGAAATTGAAGAAGCACTTTGTTTAAAAAGACTGACAGTTTGAAGGAAGATTTCCGCAGAAGCATGCAATGATAAAATTCGTTCTCAACCCAAATCAAGATCTTGATAGAAACCAACTTACAAATCACAATTTCCCGTTCAGCCCATTTCAAAGTTTTCATCTTGAAGAATTCTGTTCCCAAAATCTACTATTATTACAAGTATTTCTTCCTGTGTAGTAGTAATCGCACAAGGATTTTTTTTTATTATTATTTTTTGAGCTATGCCTACATCTCCAAAAATCTTTACTGCGAGGACTTCATCATCCTTCTCTTCAAGAAGATCAACTGCCTTGATTCTCTTCACTGTTATCGGCGTTCTTGGCTTTGTTTTGTGTATTACTGCAATTTCGAAATTGGGATTTGGGAATAAATGCAAATTCGAGAAGCCCATTTCGGTGTCCGTGGCGTGGGATAGAACCCACAGGGATGGTAGTTCCAGCATTGACAATGGAGCCCCGAAGAGGTATAAAGCAACGGGCTTCGTCGGAATTCAAACTGGGTTTGGATCTGCCGGCCGTCGACGAGCTTTGCGGCAGACTTGGTTCCCCTCCGACCATCAAGGTCTAAAACGGTATAGTTTGTTCACATTCTTTAGCTCAAGTTTTTTATCTACTTTCATGTCTGTTCTTCTCGAATCTACTTGTCGTGCATTTAAATTATGTGATTTTGGTGGTTTATTGTGTTATATATCGTGATAAAGAAGTTGCATCTTGAACAAGTTTGTGTTAGGTGTTTATTTACATGGATTATGAACATCTTGGTTAGAATTTTTTTAATTTTCCCCGGATGCTACATATCATTAGAATCACTTAGAAATGAACAATAAACTTGTTAAGCAGAGGTGCTACTTCTTTTAGGAGCTCTTTTTTCCTTGAAGCTAATTATCTTTTAAAATTAACTGCCGCAATCTGAAATCCAATGTTAAAGAACCGAACACACAAGTATTGGAGATAGGGTGCGCCTGATGTTGAACAAATGGTGATACCGTTTTTCTTTTTTATGATGAGAGGATGCCATGTGTTAGTGTTAGATTGAAGATATTCTATAAGCTGCTTAATTGAAAAGATGGTCTGGTCAAAATTTACGTCTTGTCAAATCTCCACGGTGATCCGTACTTTGAGTCGCGGTGGTTCATATGTTGTAGTCCAGTTTTGCAGCCATGATCTGTTATTTTGAGTAATTATCTAATTAGCTGGTTCAATGGATTGCAGGTTGGAAGAAGCTACTGGTTTGGTTTTCAGATTTGTTATTGGTAAAACAAAGGATAGATCAAAGATGTCTGAGCTAACGAGAGAGGTAGCGCAATATGATGATTTTATGCTTTTGGATATCGAAGAGGAGTACAGTAAGCTCCCATACAAAACGTCAGTGCTGCTTAATTACAACTTTCTATTACTGGTTTAATTTTTTTATCATGTATTGACCTTCAAAAATATTGCAGATTGGCTTTCTTCAAAGCTGCCTATGCTCTTTATGATGCAGATTTTTATGTTAAAGCAGATGATGACATATATCTGAGACCAGGTGTGTTGCTATTTAAACTTTCCTAAATCTGATTGGTGATGTATGATTTCTTTCATCAATTATTTATCCATTTATTTTTAGCTTTTCTTATATTTATCCTCTTTGTTTCATTGTTGAACAGATCGTCTCTCTCTTCTCCTGGTTAAGGAACGTCCTCATTCTCAAACTTATCTTGGATGCATGAAGAAAGGTCCAGTTTTTACTGATCCAAAACTTAAATGGTTAGTGTTGTTTCTTTCTTATCAAGCATTATTGTTGTCAAAGACTTATGCAGATCTGCGGAGCCAAATGTTTTTACTTCTATTTTCTCTCTGAATGAAATGAAGTAATATGACTGAAATATACTGTATCATTTTTGTCCAACATGCTTCTTAGACAGTCAATCTTGTCCTTACTTAGTTTCACAATATTAACCAATAGACATTTTGCTTGTTATAGATGGAGAGCGCTTTTTTTTGGTGCAGTTTTATGACTTAAGGGATAGTACAAGTTTTATTTGCGCTATTTTAGAACCTGGATTTTGAAACTTCAACAAATAGGGCTATTTTCCTTCCCTCCTGTATAAGGATGAAGTGGCGCCATTCTCTTCAGGAGGATAACAGTGATATTGGAATAATTCTTTTTTCCCTTTACACAAAACATCAGAGTACCACAACAAAAGGAAAAAGAAAGGAACTACCATGGGGAAAGCTGCAGTTTATGTTCAAAACTGAAGATAAAGCATGTGCATAATATCCTTATTAGTTTTTATAGCGTACTGCTGAACAACTGTCAATAACATTTCCCAGTCCTGTCAGATCACTTAAAATTCCCACCCAAGTTGCAAGTTTTGTACCTTTTGAAAGAATTAGTCGGCTCTGCTAGTTGAATGGTTACACAAAATTTGTAGCCTCAGGTTTAACTCATTTCATGACATGAAAGAAAGTGAGGGTAGCGGTAATAGATGTGAAAATAAAAGGCATTGCGCTTAATGATCGTCTGATGGTTTGAACATGAATGTAGGATGTATTTAACTGAGCCAATTAGATGAGTAGAAAACAAACCACTTGTGCAAATTAAAATAGAAAGGGAGTTCAACATGGAATTGTATCGTTAAAATTAAATCTTGAATGAAAATGTTGATCTTAAGAGAACAATGCAATATCTGTTTCAACAGTTGATCCCGTATAGTGGGATGAAGGCTTAGTTTTAGCTTATTTACTACTTATAGTTACCAGATATCTCTTTTATGCAGGTATGAGCCCCTGGGTCATCTGCTTGGAAAGGAATACTTTCTTCATGCTTATGGTCCACTTTATGCTCTCTCTGCAGACGTGGTTGCTAGTTTGGTCGCTTTAAGAAACAACAGGTATGCCGTGGTTTTCATCAAGTGAGAAAAAGCTGTCCTCAATCTTAAATGTAGAGTTTATCCAAAATTATTTCCTGTTTGTTAGATTCTCTTGATGAGATTTGGGTTATGAACTAAAGTTTAGTTTTATCCTTTTTACCAAGGAAGTGTTTTAAAACTCTGATTTAGCCTTCAATACCTTTCCCTTCCCATTCTGAGCTAGCATAACCCTTATTTCGCATTGGCTATGTGTAGTATTCACGGCCCTTATGCTTGATTTGTGTCAATGTTATATTCACACCCTTTGAAGCATCACTTCAGTGTAGAGTTTATCCAAATCATTTCTTGTTTGTTAGATTCTTTTGATGAGATTTGGCCTAAGAGATAAAGTTCGTTCTTATCCTTTGTACCAAGAAATTGTGTTGGAACTATATTTAGCTTCTATACCTTTCCCTTCCCATTCTGAGCAAGATTTTGAAGCATAACTCTTATTTTATCTATTCAATTCTTGATCTGAGTCAATTCTATTTGTTCCAGAACAATATTGCAGCTAACGACAAATTTGTCTTAATTGCTGATGTGAATATATAACATGTGAACTATTCATTAGTGTCATCATTCTTGCTTGATTTGCCATCTCTGTGATTTGTTTCCAGAAAATTTTGTCTTACTATTTGTTCCTCAAACATCGAATTTTCTGGTTTATAGCCCAAACTGGTTTTTTATGGAAATTGTTTTGTAATTGTATTTCAATGCTTCCCATTCAGTTTCTGGAACAAGAAGCCATCTAATATTCATATTATTGCTTAAAATTTACAGTTTCCGGATGTTTAGCAATGAGGATGTTACAATTGGTGCTTGGATGCTGGCAATGAATGTCAACCATGAGAACAATAAGCAGTTATGTGAAGCAGAGTGTTCCTCCTCATCAATTGCTGTGTGGGATATTCCCAAATGTTCAGGTAAGCCATTTGAAACTACGTTTGCGACGGCTGTGTAGGTGACCAAGAAAGAGCAAATATGTCACTAAGTCCATATTGGTTGATTTACGATCCAACTTTAGATATAAGATGATATAAATGATGCTTAGGGTGAGTACTTAAGTCATTAACAACGTGCAAGGAACACTTGGTTGTGATGGTGTCTAAAGATTTGAGAAAATATGCGTTCTATTATATAATGAATCACAGAATCAAGTTCCTATAGCTGGTATCTTTCTTTTGGAGTTTCAAATGAGTTACTTACTCATCAGGTGGCTTTTGTGAAGTGTTAAAAGATGTTTCGGACGTCACTTATGATTTTCCTCTAAATAGTGATCTCCAAAGGCCTAGTGTTCTTGTTCTCTAGTTTCTAATGCAACTCTTCCTTTCCTTCCAGCAAATCATAACTTTCTTTAAAAAAAATGTTCTTTTTTTTCTTTCAGGTCTTTGTGAGCCTGAAAAAAAGTTACTGGAACTCCATGCGAAAGAAATCTGCTCTAAAAGCCCAACTATACCAGCTGACGAGGAGGATTAACAACCATTAACACCCTGATTAGATACATCGAGCTATTGAAATTCTTACCACAGAAAAATCGATTATTTTATATTGAGTTTAGATAAATTTTGATCTTCATACTTAATACAGGTGTATCTCTCTGTGTTAGCTGTAAGCATAGGAAAAAAACATCATTGAACCATCATCAGTTCATGTGGAACAACAAAGCTCCATTACTTAGCTTGTAATACACCCTAGGTTTTGTAATTCTAGTCACCAATTTTATGATGATGAATAGTGTACTGTACCCTTCTGTTGGTGGGTATTATTTTCGGAAAGTTTGTGTTCGATTCATTTTTATTTGATCGACATTGTCAGGACACATGCTTTGGGGTACTGCTCTGAATATTGGAAATGAAAAATTTTGGACCTCTTACCAATAATAGGTTGAAGTATTGGGTTTTAAGCCGTTTGATCCACTTGGTTAACTAGGTAAAAGGATAATAAGGTTAGAGTTGCTTCTGAGTTGCGAGAAATAACAATTTTAAGCTTGAGTAATAATGATTTGTGTGTTTAGGTAGAAATGATTCCCCTAATTATCATGTCATGGAAGAGTAGTGATGAAGGTTGGATTGACAAATAGGGTCCATACTTGTGGGCCTACATCATGAATTCCCTTATAGTTGGGCTAATGAAGTTTTTATGGCCCACTAGTACGGAATTGGATTGCGTTATCATTTGTTCATTGTGGCCCTTGCCAAGTTGCATTACAGATCCAAATGAAAAATACTTATGCAGCCCACTTTGACATGACCGATTAAAAGTTTTCAACTTTTATTAGTTTTCGCCTTTTTTTAAAAAAAAAAAAAAACAAAGAAGAAATTGCCGAGGCATTTTCTTAAGTTCACAGTCAAATAAAACAGAGTTGTATTTTGCAATAATGTACTAAAAGCAAATTAATAAACTCGTCATAATCACAGTTCACAGTCAAATAAACAGAGTTGCATTTTCTTAAGCTCACAGTCAAATAAAATAGAGGGCCTCAAATTAATAAACTCGTCATAATCACAGTTCGATTTGTTTTGTATCAGATCTTTTTATAAACCTTCAAAAGCAACTCATTCCATTTCTTCTTACCATCCAACTCAACTCAATTCAGTAAACAGTAATCCCTTCTTTGGATCATATTCCATGGTCATGTTAGAAAGATTTAACTTATTTATTGAATTGAAATAACATAACAAAGTTCACTAGTACTTTTGCACTAATATTTTCATGAATGAAACTTGAAAAAGAATATGGTCCAATCTCTTAAATTGCCAAAGGTAAATTAAGACAGGATTTTCCATTGAAGGAAAAGGTTGGATTTCTTTTAAAGTACTAATTGAATTCCCCTTTCAACAGCATAGTGTCTGTCTCATGCTTGATTCACAAAGTGGTCCAGCCTAAAGCTATAGAGGAGGATTGACCCTAATCCACAGTGAAGAAAGTATGTGAGAATTTATGGGTCTTACTGACTTACTACTTATGAAACAGTTTCGAGAAGCCAAAAGTTATGGCGACCGTATGGGGGGTTTCATTGCGTTCATGTAATTTGGCCTTGGTTTTTTGTTCACTTGCTCTTCTCATCCCATTCCAAAAAATTTCATCAGTCTGCCCAAAGCAGCTGGACTGGCCATTTCTGCTGTTTTATACATACTCCGTTTCCCCGGCCCCCTCGAGATTCCTGTTTTCCAGATTTAGGAAAGAGACAGGCAGGATCATATTAGGGTGTGGTATCGATATTCAATAGGATGTTAATTCGTGACACGATACTAAATAAACCCCAACATGCCTATAGTAATTGGATGACACAAAATTCGCAAATTAATATGCCAGCCATTCGTATTGGTACTACTTCTGTCTTAAAAAATTAGTTCACATTGAAATTAAGTTCATAAATTAACACTAATAGTTCATATAAACCCGAAATACGACTCGATTAATTAGTTAGTACTGCATAATTGGGATGTCTATTTGGGGGCAAGGTCAAGATGAAATGAAGTAATGCAATAGTTTGTTTTCAAAAATAAAATAAAATAAAATAATAAAAATAAAAAATGAGAAGATGATGATGATGATGATGTTCGCTGTTCAAAGTCGGTATATAATTAACATCAACAGTGTAGCAGTGATAGATCTTCACTGATTAAAATTATATTATGAATTGGGCTTCACGTGTCCTCTATTTCTCATCTGTCGACTCCCAGATATTCACAAACAAACGACAACGACCAAAAATATATCTATATATATATATATATACATATATATATATATATACATCATCTGAATATTTTTTTTGGGCAAATTATTTGGGTGATTGAAACTTCTAAATCGTTATTAAAACTTGTCCTTCAACAACTCGCTAATCTGGTGATTTAAAATCGTAATTACATCTAGATCGATTGAGGATTATTCGAATTTCGTTTTGACATATATGGAACAGTATAATTAATCTTTTGACTTTCATACATAAAAAATTTAAAATTGATTGAATCTTGTATTCTAAAGATAGACTCAAACATCAGAACAATTAATGTGAAAACTTTTAGGATCGCTCAAATGATATTTTATGGCGTGTTTAACTTGAAGAAGAATATTAGGGGACAAAAATAATAATAAAAGGTGTGCGTAAATCATACTAACATCCGTACATGAGTCACGGGGCTAAACCCAAAAGGCATTGGTGATTGGTGTATTTGTGTGTTCTACTTTCTAGTAAAAGTTTCAACTCTGGGATTAAATAAAGCGATTTAATAACTACTCCCTCCGTTCTACAAAAATAGTTTACATTGAGTTTTGAGTTTTATACTAATTTTAGTACAAATTTAAAAACTCAATATGGACTATTTTTATGGGACGGAAGTAGTACTGTAAACAGAAGAGAAGAACCAACCAATTGAACTGTCAAGCAATGATTAGTGTTTGAGCATGATTATTAGTGAGTCATTACAGCCTCTTAACAATGTCTTCACTCTTTTTCTTTTATTCGATTATTCTAAAATTAAGGTTTACAGTGAATTATTGTCACAATCGTAACTCACTAGAACCCATAACATGATATTTTACGAACCGAATACTCTCACCATCTCGACTAACGTAAGTACGACACTTGTTATGAGATCGACTCTTGAATGATGGGTGTTAGTGTATAATAATTATTAAATCTAAAACAAAAAACTGCTAGATAGGAGATTTTCAGCGCTGTGGTGCTAGCTAGATAGCTGCAATCTAATACAACAATAATTTATTATAATAATAATGAAACAGTAATAGACCTCTGAGTTTCTGACCAATCTCTGAGGTTTAGTCTGAAATGATCTCTGTCACATCTACAAGACAACACATATTAAACTCACATTTGACCACTTACCATATTCGTTCTGCTGACTCCAAAATATATAATACCTTATTCAAATCTGTAGTTAGATTAATTAAGGAAAAGGAAAAATTGCTATAGGCCACCTTGAAAAAATCGAAGGCTTTTTCTTTTTTTTTTCTTTTTCTTTTTTTTTTTGTAACCAAGAAACAAACATTCAGATGGAGTACATTTTTTTATTCTATTTTATAAACTTATAATAGAATGGATGGGATGACAAACTGTGACGTAACATTAATCTGCAAAATGACAAAATTATATTCACCACCAGCAGCCCAGCATATGTGGAGAAGCTCTTCCTCTGAGTCGCTCACAGGAATCCAATGCAAAACAAATTTGCTAATCCAAATTTATTGCTGGTATTTATACTTTATAGTGATTTTTTTTTTCTCTCTTAGAAGGGTACATTTCTAGAAGGATAATGTTAGAAGAATACACAATGAATATACTAAGTTAAGCAATGTGACTTGCGTTCATAATCAAAGACCTATTACTTATTGTATAGTCTTGTGTATAGGGTTTTATTATTGTATATATATGTCGTGAATATTGTACATTACAACACAATAAAATACAATTCTTATTATTATAAGTTGGTATAAATTTATCAGTACGGGTAAAATGAACTTTGAAAATCGCGTTGCGTAAAACATATTAACAGGTCTAATGGCAAATAGATCGATCAAACTCCTGCAAAAGGATGATGAAGGGAGCTACTAGCTAGCTTGCTGGTTAGGTAGCCCGTGATGAAATGGTCTAAGGTGAAAAAAATGCAAGTTTGAACTTTGAACTCGGAATTATAAATGGAGGATCTCCATGGTGTCTGAAGATTCTACCTAGGAATTTGTTGTGTTCCGTACGTACCCAATTGGAATTTTTACCAATTTTGAGGTTTGGTCCATTAGAGAGACATTCTAAGTTTTGTAGTGACCTCGTTTGGATTGTTCACATGGCCTTTTCAGTTTCCATAACAATGCTAAAGTCTCCCGACATCCCACACTGTTCCATGGTGTCGAATTCTTCTTCTTCTTCTTCTTCAATTTGTAATCATATCCACTACTCTTTCACTTCTTCAATAATTTTTGTAATACCCTTTTGATCTTTGTTCAAAACCTCAAAGGTGTTAAAACTCTTGAGTCACCTGTTTTAGTCATCTTATCTTTGGCTTCTGCATTTTCGTTTCTTCATGAACCGTGAATGATGATTTTCAAGCTATATAGAACTTTAACCAAATTACAAGGTGATTATCATTATTAACTGAAATATATGATGATAGTAAAGGGTCCTCATGAGAGAAATTGAGTTAGTTGTACTCAATTACACAGATGTGACATAATTTGAGATAAAAATATGTGTTTACTTATACAAACTAACATATATACGATGATACAGAAAAAAACAGTATCTTTCGACTATCTAAATATTAAACATGTATAACTGTTATATTGATCGGATATTTTCCACTTGTTATACATCGCAAGTTTTGCTATTATTCGTCTTTATGTATACATATATCCATCATAGCAAATGGATAAAAAATGATGAACAAAAATGTTAGTAGTAGCAATAAATGAAAGATACTATAAGAATCAGTCAGAGCGTTTCCATTTTGTTTGTTCTTGCCTTTGCATAGAAATTGTTTCTGGCCCAGCCTAGAGAAAGTATCTAATCTATCCACCTACGTATAATGTTGCTTCATCATCAATTCATCAGCATGATCTTCTAGGTAGGGGAACATTGCCCAGAAATTTTTGGAAGAGTTTGTTCTGTAATTTTGTTCAACCTTATTATGTGTAATCCATCTGCCAAAAAAGCCGCACTATACATTTTCAAGATAGGAACAAACAGCAGGGAATTAATGAACATACTGCTGATGAGTAGTGCTCATCATTAGGTTTGGGCATAAATGGGGGACCTTATTTTTTCTGAGTGAAGAAAAAGATGGAGACTCAAAGAGCAAGCTAGCTAAGCAGCATGTTCTTCTTAGATGCCCAAAAGAAAAAAAACCATCAGAAGA